GGGTGTTTTGTATCATTCCAGATATTCGGTTTGTCTAACCGAAGTTTCAGTTTGTGTAACCTGACGGTCAATAATAATTGAACCCATCAATCTGATTAGAAGTTGACTATTCAGTAGAATAATGATGAAAACTACCATTTACTCTTCAATAAATAATAATAATTATTACTTTAAATACGAGGTTTTTAGCTATGAGTATAAGCACGAAGCCAATGTTGAGTCTTACGATTCGAAAGTTCGCTGTTGAGAGGATACGAAACACGGAACGTTCAGATTAAATAACCAATTTTTTTAAGTTAGTCTCGAAATTGAACATTCTCCCAGTAATTTTGGTCTATTTTAGTATATTCTTGGAGATTTCTTAAAATTTGACCCTCCCCTTTGAAAATCCCCCCTGACTCGGTCGGAGAGTATTGACTGTGACTTTGAAGGTTAGGTTATACATAAACTCATGGCGCTCTCAGGGCCCCTAAGAAACAACACATCTATGAACGCAAATTATCCAGAATTACTTACTATTACTGCGAGAGTAACTACATTAATAAACAGATTATTAAGTCCTGCATTAGTTCTTGTTTTTCGTATAAGTTTCCTCAGTTTCGTGGAAGGACGCACTCATTTATAAACATTGTCGACCATCTTCGTTTGGTCTTTGAATGTGAAGGTGTAATTTTGTCTGTTTAAACGTATGTTTAGCGACATTCTTCTAGTATTTTACTAATGGAAAGATTGGCTGTCCTTTTGGGCCCTAATAGCTCCACGTCTTGAAAAGTGTTCTAACTCTTCTAACTCGGTCCATCTGTAAAATTTTTCGAAAATCGCTCGACGAGGAAGAGTTGGGGCGAAAAGTTATCAAAGAATCCGTATATATCTGAAACGATGACAAATTAAATTCGTGGAAAGCACGTAAATTTGTTAACTAACGGTCTCCATGGAAGATGGAACCGAGTTATCGAACACTTGTTACCCAAGCGTGTCTCGCTTATCACCTACTTTTTATCAATCGGTCAAGGTCGTAATTCGTCACCACGGCATGCCAACTGCGAATTGCGAATTGCGAATTGCGAGGAAAGTCGCGCGCGGTCACGCTAACGTGCTAACGTCTCCGGTCTCCGGCAGCTGTTAACGCAACTCAAGCGTCGAAAGTTTGTTCGCCAAAGTGCCGAATTTCTGCGCTCAACTTTGAAATCGAAAAATTCGGCGACTACTAATTTCACTTCGTCTTTAAGTACTGTGTAAGTGAGAGCTCGCTCTAATTTCAATTGACCGATCGACTAGATGAAGGTATCAAGAACCCGGAAACTTTCGTCGTTTCTAGGTAAAGAATCTCATCAAGGTTCCTGCTCACACTTCTTTTTCCGTTGTCCAACGAAAGCATACAGATATACTTGAGTGAAATATTTAAATAATACTTTTCATCATATCTCGGAGAAATATCGGCAGATTTAGATAGTCCTCGTCGGTTTTTCCACTTGAAAGGGGCCGTGAAAAACTTGCAACGTCGCAAATTGAGGTATGAATGTTTTTACCTCTCAATCGGTGATGAGAAAATGTATAACTGCGCTAGTGTTAGAGTGTATAATTTCCGCAGCAATCGTCATCCTCTGCCATCTAGTCGAAGCGTCACTGTTACAGGCGCTCCGAGCAACTATTCCGCCATAGGAGCACTGCACAGTATCCGACGAGATTGAAGGCGCACAAATGAACGCAATTAACTGGTATCGTCTACCTTTCTGTAGAGTCCCACTGATCCTGAGCTTTGCAGCTCCTGCTTGATCGATTTTTGTGAAACTTAGTACCAGGTGGCATTCTTCGACGGGAAACTTGAATTTTAAGTCAAATTTTCGAAATTCGGAAATCCAATATGGTGGACGTTGCCTAAGATGCTATGTCGGCTCCTGTTCGATTGGCTTTTGTGAAACTTTGCGCCAGCGACTGTTTTTTGACGTTATGTCGAATTTTAAGAATTAAAAAATCCAAGATGGCGATAGTGACCCAGAATGCTATCTTGGCGCCCTCGAAATTATCCTACTTGGCGATCGGGATATCTATTATTTTTCTGTTCAGTTTCCAAATCGCTGTACTCTCAGCTAGTTTAGACCTAGTTTAGTATCTTCAACTTTTTTTTGTTCAAAGTGCTTGTTTTTTATTCTTTTTTTTTATTCCTTTCTTTTTTATTGATGTAACCCAGATGGAAGAAACCATGGTATGCACTACTGTGTTGGAGGATCCACACCGTGTTTTTCGATGAGCAATATCTCCGTTAATATCGAACGTAGAAACTTGGCGATTTGACCGATTGTATTTTATTTTTCTAAAACCATTGGAACGCGAAAATGGGGAGGTATCGATTTATGGATCATTGACGCCTCTCCACTGGTTAGGTGATGATGGGAGCAATCGCCGCATCGGTGGATCCTTTGAAGATAAAGTTTCGTAAACAAAGGAGCGGGCAAAGAAAGGAGCGTTTAAACGGTGTTGGGCGGAAACGGTCATTGGGGTTGGGGAACGGGCCAAATTGGCAATGTAAAGTGCAAGTAACGGCTTAATCCGTCGTAATCTCACTCGTGATGGATTCAATCGGTGAACTTTACCTCGCGCCAGAAAAAATGGTTCGCTTTCATCGGCGGTGGAGAAGCGTGTATCAACACAGTGGTGTCAGTAGCCATGTTTCCAGACAAGCAACTCTTCAAGTTTAAAGAAAAGGGGGAGGGGTGATTTTTTTTTTTTTTTTAGTGCAAATCCGCCAAATTGTTACCTGTTTTCCCTCAGTGATATTCTCCTCCACCTCGCTCCTTCTTTTCTCCTTTCCCCATTTTTTTCTCCCCAATCCTCCATTTCCCCCTATGTTTCCTCTCTCCTCCCCGTTTTTCTGTATTTTCTGTTTCTCTTGTTTCCGTTTAAATTTTGAAAAAACGATGATTTATTATCACGTGAAAACTAAGCAAATTTCTGCAATTGATAAGGTGACAAAACTGCTGACAATAGCCTCAAATTGCCTCTGGAAAAGGTGAAATTGTCAAAATTATCTGTGGAGGCCCCGCCCCCGCCCCCCTTCACACCTCGTGGAAGGAGTCTGCGCACACTCCGCGGAAATCCGCGGCGGTAAGAGCTTTTAAAAGCTTGTTGTTCCTAAACATAGCATCGACTGATCCATAGTACACAATCAATTCACTCTGCAAGGCAGCACTGCCGGGTGCAGTGCGATACCGCTGCGCCGCGCGCCGTAAGCCGTGAAACTGGAGCCGCTGGAGCGTCTGTGAACTTTTGGAGCGCGGCGCCCGCGGCGGCGGTTTTAGCAATGCCTCGCATTAGTTGCATTCACGAAGAATCCTACACCTGTTATCCATACATCACCTCTCGCGCCGCGGCACATGCATCATGCATGCAGGAATGTTCTCTTTTTGAGGCACTCCAGATCCAACAAGCTCTCCTCGTTAGGCAGCGTCCTAATGTGTCGCCGTTTTCTAAGTCTATTGTCTTAAACGCACCGAGTTTATCAGAAAGGAACCAAGCCACTTTTTTCAAAAATTGAGTTAAGCATGTTTTCGAGTTCCACTAGCCGCATACTTTATCCTGCTAAAAACTGAAAGTCGAAAAACAGAAATTAGTCAATGAAAAGAGGGGCTAAAGGTTATTTTCTACATTGAGCCATATGCGGGAATGAAACGTCAAACCTCTGCTTCTTCTTCTTGTTTTTTTTTTTGGGGGGGGGGGGGGGGGGCTTTTAAAACGTACACGCATTTTTTTTTTGTTTTTTTTATTGGAGGTGTGGCTTTTACTCCAGTAAAGGAGCCTACAGCCATCTAGAGACATTTATTATACTTTTTTAGGAGTAGGATTTATTAGGGGGTAGGGTTAGGAATATTTGTGGCGGTTGTTTTGAAGAAAAAAGGGTAGAATCTAGAAGACCAACACCATTTTCACATCCTGAGACCCTCCAGGACGACTTCTTTTACCATAGTTAGACTGGATCTTGGAAAACATTCATAGGCATGTGTTAGGTATTTTGAGATTAGAAAGAAAGTTGAGTAAAGGAAAGGATAAGCTTGTCACTCCTCAAATGGCTCTTTTATTCTTTTTTTTTTGTTTTTTTTTTTGATGATGAACGTCAAACCTCTTGTTCTCAATTTCTACTGAGTGATGGTTGGCTCCTTTCTGATGAACTCGGTCCAAATCTTTTAAATGCGCCTCAAACATTTTAAATTTGTTTCAAATGTATATTTTACTTTTTTCCCTTTTATTTGTCGATATATCATGGATCCGCAAAGTTATATGACGAGGAAATGCGGGTATTCATGAGGAAACGAAAAATTCGTGTTGAAAGCTGCTCCTTGTTTCCATTTGTCGCGTCTGTCGCCACCAACAATTTCAAAGCAGGAGCAGGCTGCTTTGCATAAATGATTAAATGAAGGCGCACCGCACCGTCCATCGTTTGTGTTCTGCTCATTCTCAAGAACTTTCAATCACAATGAGTACCTAGATTCTTATAATTTGAAGCGAGCAACTATTTTAACGTAGGTGTGAGTTTTGTACATAAACGATGAAATGAAGGGAAAACGGCTTGTGAAGTATTACAATCCGAACTTGATCAACCATTCGCGTCAATGTAAAACTCAGATCTTCTTGGCGCTTAGTTTTCCCCTTTTTCTTTTTGCTCACGTCTACTAAGTTTTTCGGATTCAGCCTGACAGTTTTAAAAACCTTTTGCATTTTAATTAGGTGTATAGGTGCAGTTACCTTCCAGTTCCTTTGCTAAACTTTTTGTACTTACCTAAACGAAAGGTAGGGGCAAGAAGGACATTAGGTGACGTTTCTAAAAAATAATCGCGATGACTTTTTTTGCCTCTCTTTCTTTATCATTGAGAAACGTCGATAAATTTTCAATATTGCACGTCTGAATCGTGCTTTTTTATTATGAATATTTTTATTTGTACATACTCCAAGATTATGCCGCGAATATTAATTTGAGGTTTTTGTTCTGTTTTGTTTGATTTCAGCCGGAAAGGGAGGAGTCGATACGAAATCAAGCCAGCCGTCTGGCCAAGACGACGCAATATTCAAGCACGCCAGCTCTTGACGATCCTGTCAACATTTCCGACTGGAACGTCGACAGGTGAGCTTTTCTTCAATTAGAAATTAGGACCTTGGCATCCGAAAGGCATAAGTGCTTTGCAATTTTCTCGGATTAGTCAACCATTTTCTTTGCCTGCAAACTACCCAAGAACTATCCTACCAAGGATGTCATATATTTCTAGAGCATATTGTAGATGTTCATATATCTATCAAGTTTAATTTAATTCATATACGACGCTAATAGCCTGAGATGCTGAATGTCTCGAATAAAATTAATTAACTATAACTAACTAACTATACCTGTGTACGTAACCATAGTATAAATATTAACAGGTCCCTCGATCAGATTGCTCTGATAACCTGAAAGTCATTACCGAAATTTTAAAACTTTTGAAGCAATTATAACTCAAAATTTAATGTGTTTTCCTGGACCCCAACGTAAATAGCCATCGTCGCTGATCGTCGCACAGTGGATCGAGTCAATCAGAGAAGCCGGAAAAAAATGTCTGACTAAAATTGCAAATTTTTATGTTTAAATCGTCACATTTTAAATTTTACGGGGTACATCTAAAGGAAAATTTTTACGAGAAAACCAATGGAACCACTTTTAAAAGTCCAAAGTTTTGCATACACGGAGTTATGAGCTTTTCAAGTTTCCAGATTTTGTCCGACCTCACCCATATCGACTCGATCCCTTGTGCTTCGTATGGAATGAGCTAACTAACTCATCGAGTCGAGTGACCTGGCTCTTGAATTATGTTTCCAACTCACTCGTCCTAAGTTAGAATTGTTCTTTCCAGGGATGCAGAATTTTCGAAAGGAGCAACTGATAGGTAGCTCGCGAATTGCTTAGGCAGTGGGAAATTTGCATGGGCTGCGACTGTGAATGATGGATGATATAAGTATATTCTTACGTTTTGATTGCGTAAATCTTCCGATGAAAATTACCGCAAATTATTGTAAAAGCTGAATGCCTGGTTGCTTGAAACTGCGTAAGCTGGAAAACTTTCTGCACCCCTGGTTCGTGTATGTTTTCCTTTCCTGATTTCTGGTTGACTTATTTCTTCAACTGTTTTCCTTGCCACAGATGGGTGGAGAGTCAAGACGAGCCGGATAAACAAAATTTGGACGACCCAACCAGGCGGAATATTCAAGGTTTGTATCTTTTCTGTCCGTCCGATTTTTCATTCAATTTTGCCCACGGTATTTCCAAAATCCACTTCAATTTTCTCACTCTATGTGCTTTGCGTATTTATATATGAAGGATATCAAAATTTAGTCATTGATGACATTTTAGTCGTATTATTATATCTATAATGAATATTTTTCCTTGAAATGTTCACATACCTAAGGTTAATTTTCTCTGAAAAAGTTAAAAATAATAACAATTTTCCCCGAAAAATCGCACCCAATGGGAGAAAATTCAGCAGCATCTGCATTCTACAGGCTCTTACGGCGTTCTTCCTTACTGTGCTGCCGTCCTAAGGAAAACGCCGTATAAACCATCGCCTGGCTGACAAAAGGGCGTAACTACTTACCGAGATGAGCCCAGAAAAGCATTGAATTGTATGGACAACATGGTTCATCGCGGAATGTAGTTATGCCCTCATGTGATACGGAATATTCAAGAGTAGCCAAATTTCCTCTTTTGAAATGTTTATTTTTGAGAAGCGTTATGAATATTTTCTCTCGAAATTTTCAGATAATTTAGATCTAAAGGCGAAGAAAATTGCCTGAAAAATTGATTTGAAAATAATCACGAGTTTTCCTGAAAATTGGTATTTAATGAAAGGAAATTTGGCAACTGACGGAAGCGTCTTTCCTTACGGCGCGGCGCGGCGTCCGTTACGGCGTTTTTCCTCAGCACGGCAGCATCAGTGGCGTGGCGTGCTTTGCGATCGATCGATATTTCCCCATTTGAAGCAGTGCTAAATAATCGATTATTAAGGTGTTCTCTGCGAACGCCCTGTTAATCGATACTTTTCCATAGGTTGAAATGGCCGATCAATCGATATGTCGCAAATCACGCCACGCCATTGGGCAGCATGCCGGAAGAGGAATTCTGTTTGTGCCGAGTAGAAATGCGACGAGGAAGTTATGAATAGAGGTTTCTAGTAGGCGCTGCTCTGGGAAATTGGCGAATGAATGGCGATATACTCTCCTCATTTGGCCCTCTATTCTGCCGTTGGTTTCGACCGCCCGGGCACATATCGGTTAGGTCCAACAGAATTTTTCCGAGTTTCTAAAACGCTCATCACTAACCGTATTGACATTTTCTCTCAATTCGTCGCCTTCTTGACGTAAGGGCGTAACTGCTCTCTGCAATGAACCCTGTCTCCCATACAATTCAATGCTTTTCCGGGCTCATCTCAGTGTGTAGTTACGCCCTTATGTCAGCCAAGCGACGAATTAATGCATGTTTCTTCGGCGTCCCTGTCCCTGCTTAGAATCCGTTTTCAGCGCCTCGAAATGCTCGAGTCTCGCCAATGCTGCTTTGCTAAGGAAAAACGCCGTATGAGCCTTCAGGAGTTGCCAAATCTACTTTGATAAACTACGGATTTTCTGGGGAACTTGTGAATATTTTCCTTCCAATTTTGTGTGTATCAGTATTTGCAATTTTATCTAAAATATCTGAAAATTTCAAGAAAACGTACCTATTCACAGTTACGCTCAAAAATAAACAATTAATCGCGAGAGACTCGGCAACATTTGAATGTTCTTACGAGGTTTTTCCTCAGCACGTTAGAATGACGTATGCAAGCAAGCATGAAACACATGTTAATTTTCCCCTGACCTTTTTCCTGCTTCGTCGCTTTTTTGCAACGGCGAGGACGCGTCATTTGATCAAGTCCGAATCCAAACTTTCTCTCTCTCTCTCTCTCGCCCTCCCCCCTGCCTCTCCTTCCCCCCTCTCTTCTCCCCTCTCCCTCCCTCCCCCTCTCTTCACGTAAAATCAACACTCCTCCACCATCGCTTTCTGTTGTAACAGAGCGCACCCTAGCTTGCCTGTAAACGCATTTGTATGCTTGACTGACATCCCCACAACCCACTCCATTTAATTCCCACCGATTCTCGACGGAATGTGTCTTAACACTATGTTAATTTCATCTCAAGCGTACATCTTGTTGCTCCTCTGCAGCGGGTCGATTGTTGAATCGATATCGAATGCTTCTAATCGATAAATCCCTATCTTAACAATGCTATATATCGATCAAGGTCATTCGATATCGATTCAACAATCGAGGAGCAGGCCGGTTATTATCGAAATTGATAGACAAAGCTGTAGACAAAGACACGTGTTGCGTGAAATTTTGATGTTATAACATGTCTGCCGTGCTAAGGAAAAACTTTGTATGAACATTCGAGAGTTGCCAAATTTCATCTGATAAAATGTTCATTTTGGAAGAACGTTTTGCATATTTTTCCTCGAAATTTTCAGATATTTTAGATTAAAGTGCGAAAAATATCGTCTATAAAATTGGATGTATTTCTGTCAAACGGAACTATGTGCATCATGACGCGAGCCCTGTTATGCATATATTCTTATGGGTCTCAGGGCTCATGTCTTGATGCACATAGTTCCGTTTGGCAGAAATACGTCCAATTGGAAGCAAAATATTCACAACTTCCCCTGTAAATTTATCCTTTATCAAAGGAAATTTGGCAATGCCTGAAGGTTCATACAGCGTTTTTTCTTAGGACGGCAGTCTAGTGCTCAATTCCTTAGCATGTCTAGTGGCTCATTCATTTTATTGTGAGTTTCCTTGAAAGCGTAAAGAATTAAGAGAACTTGACAAAAACGTATATCGCACGAAGCATCCGTTCCGATAGTCGCCCTCCCCTCGCGCATGCGCTATTGATAACACTTCCTACTCGATTAATTATTTCTGAACATACATCTGAATTACGAATTATCGTGAAAGCTCTTGGAAAGTCAATTCTCACCCAGGACGTTGTACCTTCTCAGAAAATGGACAAGACCGGAACTGTACGTCAAGTAATTTATCAATAGCGCATTGATAATTTTTCATTGATCGTTCGATTAATTTCTGACTCTCCGCCGAAAATGCGAGTCATCGTGAAAGCTCGTGGAAAATGAATCGCACTGCGTTTAGCAGAAAGGACCAAAGCCACATCGGCTATTGCCAAATGTAAGTGGGCTATTTAATTTTTTGTAAAAGAACGTTTGCGTAGATTCCTTTGAACATTTTAAAAAATTTGCTTCGTATGATGCAGAAAATTCACTGAAAACAACCGTTTTTATGTACGAAATTGAACTGTCCGATAAAATTTGGCAATAGCTGATGTGACTTGGCTCCTTTCTGCTTAACGCGGTCTAATTATTATCCAGCACGTAGTAAGTGACTTCTAAGAAAATGACCGAAAATTCCACGATCGTGTCTGAATGAATGAGTTGATTGTGCGAAGCTCTTATCGCTAGATTTTATTGATAGACATGGTTAACTTGATTAATGGAAGCATCGGTTCTTCAATCAGCAGTGAAATTGGAGGAAAGCCGTAAAGCCAACTTTTAAGGAAAAAATTCCAAAGCGATAAAACTCAAATTCAGCCCATTTTCGACCGGCGTTTCCGTAGAGCGCATATCTTTTGATCGTTGAGTAAAAATCGTATGTTTTTATTGTACTTTTTTTGAATAAAGAATAAAAAGGTTGATAGTGAGTACAAAATGGTAAAGCACACGAGTGTATTCAAGGTTGGTCTTCTTCTACTTTGTCTCACTATCCGCGTTATACATACATCTACTTGCGTAGCATCGCGCTGCATTGAATGGAAGCTTTGAACATTACTTTATGCATCTAAAAATAATGTTTCCTTTCTCCCCCATCTTCCCCACCCCCGCACGATAATTTGACGTATTTAAACCAAAAGGAACTATGTCGCACGCAATTCTTATGCACATAGGTCCTTTTAGCACAAATACGCTCAATTGCAGTTCGGCGCCCGCCAATCATGTGTTCTCGGTTACGGCTGCTCTTTGCGTATGTCTGTGTGAGAAGAGCCTTTTTTAATCACTTTGAACTTTGCAGCCTTCTCTTCTCTCTCAAAAAACGGAAGCTGCTTGGAAGTAATAATCTGAAGTACTTATCGGTCGAATATTATATTTTTACCCACATTATTCAGACTTGTTGACCGGGAGTTTTCATTGCAAAAAATTAACTTGAAAAAACTTACTAAAAATAAGACACCAGAATATCCTCTATTCGTTTATCAGAAGGATTACTGGACTACATTTTGCAGCTAAGAACTATAATTTCTAGCCCATCCGTAAGAACACTCGTGTGTTTAGGGAAACCAAAGGCACATACGTCGTTTCTAAGTTGAGCCAGATATTGTAGTTCCTAATTGCGCAATGCAGTACAATGAATGTATCACTGTAACAGTTATTTCACTGATTTGTGCATGTACGAAATGGACCGCGTTAAGCAGAAAGAAAGTAAACGAGCTGGCTTTTGCCAAATTCAAGTGGGCAATTTAATTTTTCACAAGCAAATTCTTTAACATTTTTAAAGGAATCCGCCCGAGCGTTCTCTTGTAAAACATTAAATTGCCATGTTAAATTTGGAAACACCTGATATGGCTTGGTTCCTTTCCGCTAAATGCAGTCCAAATGTCTCTGGTTCATAGTTGCGACTCGGCATTTTACTAGATAAAGCGGCCGGAAATGGGGTCTGGAAAATTGAGTCAGAGGGCTAACACGAGACAGAATTAGGTGAGAGTTGAGGAATTTTAAACGCCGGCGCCGTAGTGGCATGCATTTCAACAGTGAAAGTAAATAATGCAACGTCCCTGAAAAGATCGATTTCTGGCCCGAATGCACGAATCCCTCGCTATTAATTGCGAGTTAGTTTTGCCCTCCTTATCAGCAAAGGGAACGGAACAGGTGAGAGTTTTGGCCCTATCTGATGAAATTGAAGGGGGGGGAGGGTGGAGTTGCTAGGTGTTTTAAAGGGCGTTTGTCTATCGATTAGTGCGAAATATATTTGCATTTGAGCTTAAGGTGGCTCTTCGGTACTGAGGAGAACGATGTGCTATAATCAATCGTTCCATTTATAAAATCTGGATTCTAGGACATTTTTTTAAGATTTCCGAACATCGAATCGCTCTTTCAGTCTATTTTGCTAGAGTCCCTTTAGATTTAAGACATCTCAATTATCAGCTGGCCTGGGCTGGCCATGGTGTCACAAAAGTGTGCACCCAAACGAACGATTTAAAGGGATGAGGACAAGGAATCCTGCGACGACGTCTGTCATCCAAAAACAATACCATAAACAAAACTGGTGAAAACTTAACCTAAGGAATTGCAATAAAATAAAATGAGATTGATTCATGAAAACATTTTTAATCTACTTTCATTTTGGTGCGATGAATGAAAATTTAACAATTTACTCTTGATGAATCACAATTAGGTTATATTTCCATTACTTTTGTTTACATTCGAGCCACCGCCATCTTGGTGCACTCTTTTGTAACTCCATGAGCGAGAACCAATCAGGATTGGATTATTTTTCAGGCCACGTTCAGCCCAGCCAAGTCCGACCAGAATTGAGATGTAGTAACTCTGGGTTAAAAGGGACTCTATATTTTGCGAACGGAGGGTCCATCTCAAAAAGTAAAGATACCCCAACGCCAGAGGAGCGACGGCGTCTGGCATACTTTATGCATGCAACTATTTTAACTCTGAAGTAGGTTTTTTGCCTAACCGGCTAAATGAAGGCGAAATAAGATCGAGTTATCCAGGACTCGTGCCGCGTTTTTTCGGTCTGACTGTGAATTGGATTTATTAACACTTCAATTACCGTCGAGTCGAATTCGAAGGGGGGGGGGCGCTCATATTAAACCCTCAGGGTTGTGGCTTGTAGACCTCATCAGAGAAAGAAATTATTGATGATGGGGAGATAACTGAAATGAAACTGATACGGGTGCGAGGCCGAGGCTCAGGCGCCAATTAGTGCGTCTGTCTCCGCGAGTGTCAAAGTTTCCTTTGAATACGCTCAAAAACATGTGGATATGATATTTTAAAATATGGATGGAGACCTGGCAACCCGCTTCGGTACATCTGCTCATCATCTAATGGCGCGTCTGAGCTCTTGCAGGGAAAAATTTGTTGGAGTCTGTTTCGAGTGATCAACCTCTGATATGAGCGTATTTACTGGTCGTCTCGTGTTGGCGCCGTACGTAAGCACCGAGTACTTAAGTAGGAAGGATGTCTTAGTTTCTTACACTTGATATTGATTTACTCATTTGAAGTACTTATAATCGCGGGGCTTAAGACTTTTATTACCAAATTATTAATTAAAATTAATCATAAATTGAGTGACCATTTCAGTATTTTCGTATTTTTTTCCTCTTTTCTTGATTTTGAAAGAAAACCCCCCTAGTAGTCAGTACTTTCAGTAATTTCAAGTATTCCAGACCACCTCTGAATTTTATATATTTATTTATTTTTTTTAAATATATTTTTTTCTCTTTTCCGGATTCTTCAATAAGATAATCCCCCCAGTAGTCAACACTTGAATACCTCAATTTTTCTAGACCACCTCTGAATTTTCGTAGTTTTTTTCTTTTTTTCGGATTCTTCAAGAGTCTCCCAGTAGTCAGCACTGGAATATTTCAATTTTTATAGACCACCTCTGAATTTTCGTATTTTTTTCTCTCTTTCGGATTCTTCAAGAGTCTCCCAGTAGTCAGCACTCGAATATTTCAATCTTTATAGAGCACCTCTGAATTTTCATATTTTTTTCTCTTTTTCGGATTTTTCAAGAAAATCCCCTCAGCATTCAGCACTCCAATATTCCAAATCCAGATTTTGAGTTTAGGATGCTATGAAATTTTCCGTTCGATACGTGGCATGTGCCTGTTATATTTTCCTCAGTAAAATGTTGGACTCGTAATTTCGTGATTCTTGCATCTTCCTCAGTAAAATGTAAGATTTGTATCTTTGTCACTCTTGGGTTCATATTCGCATGATAATACATTTTTCCTCGTTCTCACCACGAGTAAAAATCGTCCTCCCCGGCGGGGAATCGAACCCCGGTCTCCCGCGTGACAGGCGGGGATACTTACCACTATACTACCGAGGACTGGTGGCTCCGTGTGACGGAAGTTTGACTCCTCTCTCGACCCGCCACTACGCCGCGCTTTTATCTTGTACATATTTTTTCTCATCAAAATTTTTCGCCAGGTTTTACAGGATAGTTAGTGTCAGAAAAACCTCGAAAACTAAAACTATCGGAAAAGTTCGGGATTTCAGAAAATCTGACGGATAAGTTTGGATTCTTCAGTCCTTACTGATCTCATCAAAATCATTTTCTCGACTTATTTTTCAAGAACATCATCAGGATCATCACGTGAATTCTTAGAAAATGAAATTGAATACTATAGATTTCCCTTCCTCCTACTCGATCACTACTAACATGCCGCTCTTATAGCGCATCCTTGCACTCTGCGACACTGAACCGCCACTGGTAGCGATCCTGCCAGAGATCTCTCCTCCTCCTCCTCCTCCGTTTTTAAAACTTTAATAGATGAGCACTTGCCGCTTTCCTGTGAATCTATTGTTAGACATCATGATTTTATGAATAAGGATCCGATCAATTGATCGTATAAGGGAAACATCCAAAACGGTGTTCTAAAATAAAACATTTTTTGTCAGTTGGTCGGATCTCAAAATTGTTCCCAATTTATCTCAATATATTCATAAAATTCAAAATTGCACGATTCCTCCCCTTGTCTGAGGCAGGTGTATCAAAGCATCTGCTTTGCAAAGCAATTATTTTTCGTGGATTTTTAGCGTCAAAAATGGAGTGATAGTAGTTTATTTACAATGTCTCTTGGTTTGTTGCAGGCAACAATGTAACGGAGAGTGTTCTAAACAAGTTCAGGAAAAGTTTCTCGCTGCGCTTTGCAGGCAACAAAAAGGCTGGAAGCAAAGATGGAGACGAAGATGTAGAAATAGAAACTATCCAAAGGCCTGATTCTCCAAAGGATGAAGGCGATCCAAAGTTTAGGTATGCTCCATCGGGATCCTTTGGTATTTACCAATTTTTTTTTTTTTTTTTTTTTTTTTTTTTTTTTTTTTTTTTTTTTTTTTTTATCTGAAAAGTAGGGGGCTACGCCTCCTTGGACCAACTCCCAAAGCGCTTAGCTTATGCGTTACTCCTATAATTTGATATTTCTGAGTAAGATGGCTTGTCTCTTTTTAAAAGTCAGTCTTTCGAATAAGCTCCGTTTCTTTACATACCTTTTTGTTTTAATTATTTCTCTAAGTTAATGTGTGACCTGGATTTGAAAATTTCAACTTTCGTTGCTTTGATGAACAAATAAATGTATTGCATTTTGCAATTTGGAGCTATAAATTCTGGCCCATTTGAAAAAACGCTTATGTGCATAGGGAAACTAATGGCACATACGTTGTTTTTAAACCGGGCCGGAATTTATAGGTCCAAATTGCTAAATGCAGTCCAAATGGAGTGCTCTATTTGTGCTTATAAGGAATAAAACGGCTACTTTTTGAAGGAAGTTCATTGGAATTTCTCGGAACTACATATATGTATTTTTATCGTCTGCTTTCAGGTTTGGACCGTTAGTTTGGAGGACGAGCAAAGAACGGAAAAAAGCCAGGAAAGCTAGAAGTGCCAAATGCAATAGTGGTGATAGTGGAATTCATATTGAAGTAAGTCCAATTTCTCGCTCATTCTCCACCCTTTATTTTCCATTTTCGGGAAATTTATAGTTTCATTCTTTACTCTCTATCGATTCTGATTGTAAATCGACCCTTAAAAACCGATTCGATTTTTGGGGTCGAAAAATCGAGTTCCAATCGCCTTATCAGGAAAAATCAGGATAATGCCAAGATAAATCGGTTATGGGTCAAGAAATTCTGAGTGCTCCAAGCACTCCTCAAACATTTGATTCCATTCATGAAATATGTTGCTTTTTTAAACCAAATGAGTGTCAATTTATTCGCGCGAAAAATCGGGAAATCTCGTCTGGAGGAAAATCCAAAATGAAATTTTAGTAGTGACCCTGAAAATAAGTACGGAAACCATTTGTTCTTTCCTTCTTCTTTTGTAGTGGTTGCGCTACATACATTCCCGTCACAGGTAGAGTCACAGGAAGATAGAAGATGGATCTGAAACAATCCTAGCGTAGGTAAATGCGATGTGCATAGGTATCTGATGAAGGCGTCAATCAGGTCATCGGTCCTGCATCTTAATTGTTTTGATTGAAGGGGTTCATCGACCATGAGTCGATCCTCCATGATGATCGTCCTTTGTTCTCTGGTCCGGGGGCTTTGGGGCTTTGGGGCTTTGATCCATTGCATCGTTTCGGCCGCTTTTGTCCGTCCCGGCTCAATTAAGCACAAACAGTAAGCCAGATGTTTCCTCGCCTTCGTACCGCCGTGCTAAGGAAGAACGTCGCAAGAGCTTTCAGACGTTGCCAAATTTCCTTTGACAAATCACTAATTTTCAAGAAAATTTGTGAGTATTTTTCTTCCATTTTTTCAAGTAATTTTCCTAGTAATTTGATCTAAAAAGTCCGAAATTTTCAAGGAAACATATCGACAATTTTCCTCAAAAATAAACATTTTATTGGTGAAAATTTGGCAACTCTCGAATGTTCATACGGCGTTCTTCCTTTGCACGGCAGTGTACTCGTCCAGCCAAACACTCCGCTAGTGCCCTTTATTCAATTAGCCAATTTTTCCTCCAGCTTTGAGTTAATGTTCCACTGGGAGATTCGATCCAATATCCAATGACACCCCCCCTCCCCCCCCCGTCTCGCGTCTATCGGACCTATTTTCATCCGATCGGATCGTAATGAGCAAGCGAAATTTTTTCTCCTTTCAAATTCGAATCGAGATGAGACAATGCCCAGGCAGGCAGAATAGAGGTAATCGGAGCTCTGATTGGCCTCGATCTTAGAAGGTGACCCCGAAAATGGGGATGCTAATTTCGGAAAGGTGCCAACCCTGAAAAACGCAATTTTCCAGGGGATAAGTGAAATTCGGCAGGAGGTGGAAACGGATAGATTTTCTATCAAAAACTCAATTTCGAAAAACAATTGAATCGGCTTCTTTTCGTAATAGGCTCCTTATTCCTTCAATTGGTCTTTTTGAAAGGCATGAAATTCCTCTGACCTGGTGAAAGATCATACTTGCCATTCCTACTTACTTGTGCTTACGTACTGCCGTGCCGATGAAGAGAGCAATCGATGCAAAATTGGGCCACATTTTGCAATCAGGAACTACAATTTCCGGTTCAGTTCGGAAACAACGAATGTATCATCAGCTTTCCTATACACATAGGTGTTTTGGCGGATGAGCCAGAAATTGGAGTTCCTCATTGCAAAGTGCAGTCCAATTTTCGTATGTATTAAAGCTGAATACTAAATAATAATGCAGGTGAGAGAGAAAAATGTGGTAACCAACTAACCACTCCTAATATGAGGGTATGCAATTATGCATTCCACTTTCGATTTTCTTTTTCTTCCGGAAAAGTTTAAAATACCGTTTCTCGCACGCATTGTTCTTCTCTGTAGTACTGCAGCATATATTGAAATAGTGAAATTTTGGGTGTGAGGAAAAATTATCCGCTCTGAGGAGATCGTCCTCAACTTCTCGGACAAACTGTTCGAAACAGCAAAAATTATTATTTTAGGATTACTTGAAATCATTTGGGAGTAGGTAAGGACTAAAAAGAATAAATACTTGCCCTGTAATTTTCTATCATGTTTCTTCACTAGCGGTAAATATTGTCTGAAGGTTCTGTCCGGTCAACTTTATCATCAATAATCAATCTAAAAACCGTCAAATGGTTGAAATCGTTCAATGACGCAAATCTGTTTGAAGATCATTGTGCTAATCGGCTCCAAAAATGCAAAATAATCCATTGGAAGTTTGTAATTTACGCATTCAACATCACCAAAGCGGATTCTCAGACCTCAAATCAAATACATACCCGCAAGGTTTGGCTGCAAAAACTACTTCCAAACACAGAAATACAACTAGCCTAAAAAGCTGAGAGATGATTTTTTTTGTCAGCTTTGGTTCAAACAATTTCTTTTGCATGGATGGAAAGTTTCTTGGTTTGTTCCATCAGCTCTTTACCCATTTTAACATATTTTCCTTCGATTCTCTCGTTCCAACTTTCAGTCTTATTTTTTGATACCTACTCACTGATGTTTCTGCTTCTGTCAACAGATGGGTGGAAGAATTGAAGATAGTTCGGAATCTCATGATACAGATATATTAGGCGATGATGATACTGATAGTCCCTTGATGGTAAGTTTATATTCTTGGATCATACTCTATTAGCTAACAACTAAAATAAAGATTATTGTTTATGAACTCATTGATTAGACTTTTGCAAAGCAATGTTAATACCGCAGGTCTCACATTATATCCCTCTGAAATCGATCCGTGTCGTATCATATTAAGAATTTCTTTAAACATTTGGTTTTTAACAAATTTAAGTTTATTTTAACTATCTTTAGCTGAAGCTTTTTACTCATAGATACCGATTGTCAAAAATAATTAACTTTTTAGCTACTTCTTCAAGATTAAGTAAGCTATAGGTATTTTTCGGTCAGATCATATTATTCTATCATCATAATAACCCATTTATAAAAACCTATCTCACTACGTAATTTGTCTTCTGATAGTCTGTTTTGATTTTTGCCTTGCCTCTTGCCATGCACTAGCATCTGCGAATGCACACCTTATTTTCTTTCTTCTACGTCTGTACTTTTTTCATGTCTTATTTTTTTTTTTTCCAGACAAGAAAACGGACAACCCCAACTAGTTCCGATGGCAAACCCTCTAGACCCTCTTCAGATGTAATTAACCAACTCCTACTAGATAAATTAAAGGTACCAATATTACTCTTCTAAATTTCACTGTTTTTCTGTTCTTCACCCCTGTGAGGACTTTTCCCACTACATTTCATGATTGGTGAAATTGACCTTAAGTATTTATAATTTCTTAAAATACCTTTTTTATAAGTGTCGCAAATTAGTTCAACTTTTCGTACAAGAAAATGTTCTTCTTCCCTCCCTAGTCGGGGAAAAAATTAACTCAGCAGTCAATGAACCCTTTTTGGGTTTTTATTTTGTCTTTTGCTGGAAGATCCTAAGTTCCTCAATAACATTTGAGAAGAAGTAACACAACCTTAAAACAATTATTATTTTCCAAACTCCGACACTACCGATTTTGCAAAAACATTTTATCCTATCAAAGGATTTAAAATATAAAAGTAATGGAAAGGAACTGACAGAAATTGTAGAATTCATTATTTTTAATTTGCTTTTTCTTTTTGAATAATTCCTCTTGCCTGTTTATTTTTCACTTTTTCTCCTTCGTTTTACTTTATTCTGGTCCTTTTGTTTTAGATGGATTCTAGGAATATATTAGCACGATCAAACGGACAGCCAGTTAGGCGAACGCATTCAGATTTAGGAGGTCAGCGTTTGTTAAATTGGGACTATCGCTTTTATCGAAGAAGAATGCTGAATACTTCACCTTTAAAATCCAGGCCACCTTTCATGTCTTCCTCTTGTAGAGGGTAAGTGTACCTGTTAAGCGCTCAGCCGATAGGCAGCGCTTTTTGATTTCAACTTGCCTCTGAGTATTAGTATACTAGTGCTAATGCGTTTAAATGGCGCACCAGTTCATCGATGTGTAGGCTTTTTGGGGGGGTCAATTTTTAAAATAAATAAAGCTGTGAAAACTGTATTTTATGCTTTTAACGTAATGTGCAGATAGTTTCGATCGTTTGTCTATAAGAAAATTTCTTAGCGGTAGAGTAATTCTTATCGAAATTGATCGTTGAACTCAAATGAAGCCTAAAAAAAAGGCGCCTGATGAGCTCAACGGTGAGCTCATTTTCGGGAAACAAAAATACGTGTTTACAGTTTCCTTGGTAACCTTTGTTTGCTATCAGCTGATGTTTTATTTCCATTTCCCAGCCAAGTCAACGGAGTTTATACGTCCTTTCTTCATTAAATACATTTACTAACACCTGAGCGCTTTTCTAATACGTCAGTATTAGAACTTCCCTGCTTGTTTTTTGATTGTTTATCTTACTTATTCACTACAAAACAAGGTTTGAACTGAGAGGATGCATCAATCTCGTCCCACACCATGTTGTAAGAAAAATGTCATGCTCTTGCAATTGGTGTGTTAATGTTGCAACAGCACCAATATGCAGTTTTATTTGGGTTTAGGTAAACATAGCTATCCAAGCTGTTCCATAGCTATCCAAGATTGAATTAAAGTTGAGGTACCTGCGTTGTTATTTTGGTCCTAGGGCATCTAATGAGCAGTTTAAGAAAGCAACTGTTTCATTTTGCCTCTCATCTAATTCTTGAAGGGTACGAAATACTTGAGGTCTTTAGTTTTTTCATGCCTCTTTTAGTATTGATTTACCTTAGTTGACTTACTGTATTTTGTCATTGCTTTTATTTTAATTTTTTTTGTTGAGAATTTGTAATTTTTTTCTTTCTTTCCCATTTCTTTCTGATCCAGCTCACGACCCATAGGAATGAGATCATACAAGTTACGCAGGTCAATAAGTCAGCCTCTTGGGCTCAATGAATTGTCTCCTGTTATGCGCAAAAAACCAATCGGTAAGAACTACTGATACCTCAATGCTTCCTATACTGAAAGTGAACATAATCGAATTGAATATTATGAAATGACTTCCAATGTGTACAACAACACAAGTACCTGCAATTATCCATTAACCTATGTCAAATAATTCTTAAAATGGAGCAGTCTTTTTTTTAGAGCACTATCTAGAGGAAAATACGGTGATTTGAGAAGAGAGCTTAGTATTCGCCTTTCTCGCACTTATTAAATTGTGTAGCCTTTGTATTGTTCTTATTTTATAATCAAAAGAGACATCTATTTGTACGCCACGAAGTGAAAAATTGTACTGAAGGAGTGTCAATGCAGTTTTTAATGAAAATGAACTTCGGTGAAAAACTCAAAAAAAAAAAAAGCTCCAAAATAAGAGGCACTTTTAACAAGGATTGAAGTGACTGAAGAGACTTAGATATAGCCTGTTCACTTTAATCTTTTATTTTGAGCGATAAGCTTGGAGATAATGTCCCTTGGCTTTTTTGTCTTATCCTCCATCTATCAAATTTCATAAGTTACCTAAATTGAAAGTGGAAATACACACCCAACTTTCTTTCGCATGATCATCTTTAATTTTAAGTTTTGCAAAAAAGGAGCAAAGAACATAACCTCTAACTGTATCCAAGACTCAAAATTTTAGTTCTCAAAATCATTAATTTTCCTCAAACTTATTTTGTATTTATTCATGTTTGTGTATCAAAAGAATCTTTCATAGTGTATCAAATGTATCTTTCATTTTTAGTTGGGCGCTACAACGCGAGCGAAGACGAAAGAGGAGGCACATCAGATGACGAAATGATGTCTGACTCAGAATCTTCAATTGCATCCTTGAATGAGAGGAAGAAGTCTTTTGAGCAGGTATGTACTTACTAAAAATTACTTCTCAAGTGTAGTCCATAGCTTCAAAGTTAGTCCTGTTGATTTTCTAATTGCTGTGAATAAAAACGTGCTCTTCACCCAAGGAGAGAAAAAAATCAACTGGAATCATATGATTTGCTATGCCAACCTTCAAATTTTTGAATTTTCTCTTCGAAAGAATGTCAGTTCATTCTTGGTTATTCCAGGATGTTAATGTATCAACATATCCCAAAAGAGATAAACAAACATGTATGAAATGAGAAATCACTAGTTTTGGTAATGTGAATTGAAGCCAAGGTCTTAAAGAGCATTTTATCAAAGTAGTCGAAAAAATACATAGGCTTTTACTTTTAGGCTTTTACTAAATGTCCGAGTTGTCAGATTTGGCGCTTGGTAGAAAAATATTTTTACTTAAAAATGTTAAGTCTTACCTTGTTAGAGTTTTAGTTTGTCTTTTAAATCTTGTCGAAAATTTAGGCGCCAAGCTATCTGTTATTTGTATTCTGATTGATATCAATAACTTTCTTTATCCGTTTTATTCTGTGAGCTATATTATATTAAAGCGGTTGTCTTCTATTTTTTTTTTACATGCCCTTATTTAGACCAAGCTTATTTTTATCCTGCCAATTATTATTCTTTATTTCTGAGAAAAAAATTGAGCTGTGAGTGACTTTGCACTAACTAGTTGCACAGTGGGTCAATGGCTCCCACTTTTTATATTCATACATATTCTGAAATCACGAAGTTAACTGCGCTTCTAGGAATTTTTTCAGATTTTTTAAACAAAGAGAGCCTTTTTTAATAATGCCAAAAAGAGACCCATTTAAAAGAATATTTTTGGCTAGCTAGGGAAAATGATGTTTGCCCGCTGATTGACTGAATTCAGCCTCAGGCATTTCTTTGCTCCGTCGACTCGACTACCAGCTTTTGATAGGTTGGATTTTGATCAGCTATTGTTCCTTTTAGAAATTCTTCTTTGAAACTTTTCAATGAACTTTTTCGTTTTTTCAAAAATTTTAACATAAGAAAAAGTATACTACAACCCTGCAAAAATTCCTCCCCACTGCCTCATTTCCCCAGTGTTGAGAGAAAATGTTTTCATATTGCGCAAAAACTTCCAGTATTAGACTCTTAGCTTTTCACCACCTTGGAAAGAAATACAATTTTCAACAAAAAAATGTCTCTCAGTTTCAATTGAATGTGAACTGGTTCCTTTCTGCCAGACCTGATCCACTTAATATACTATCCTTGATAATTTTTTAGTAAGAATTTTGGCACTTTATGATTTGTGTTGAATATTTTAATTTCAGGCGACGGATGAGGAGGTCGTTGTTTTAGCAGAGGCTGTATGGGATCATGTTGCAATGGAGCCGGAGGAACTGATGTTCCGTGCTGGTGATGTCGTTGAAGTCAAGGACACGAGAGATCGTGATTGGTGGTGGGGCTCAGCTGGAGGTCGCTCAGGCTGGTTCCCTGCAGCATTTGTTCGGGTATGTTGTTTTAACCAATTTGCAAGTCTCAATTTCAAGGAAATGGAATTATTGTTGGGTTTTTCGATTTCTCTAAACCTCAGATTTGAGTATATTGGTCCTTTTTTAATCAACCCCTAGTGGGAAAACGGTAGTAACATAAAGAGTACTGGAAAATTCTGACAAAAATTTTAGAAAATTTCACCCACCTGTGAGTATGAGAAATGGACTTTATTTTGCAATTATATTTTACAATTTCTGGCTCATTGGTAAAAACACGTGTGTTCTTGAGGAAACGTTACATACATTGTTTTTAAACTGAACCAGAATCTGTAGTTTCTAATCGCAAAATAAAGTCTCAACAAGAAACGTTCTTCTCAGGGGCTGGGAATGCAACCTACACTCAAATAAATCACCAAACCTTATTTTTTTGTAATGAATTTGTAATGTTTCTCTCCTGCAAATCATAAGTAATAATATTAATGTGAATACACTGATTTTTTCGAAAAATATTTGCAGTATATTTAACGTGTTATTAATTAGCAATTTGAGGTGTCGCCCTACAATTTTCGGTACTCTCCAGAAATATTTCATATAACTGCATTGAGTTTTGCCACCTTTCTGAGAGTAGGAGCATTGTTTGAAAGTAATTTGATGAAAAAAAACCTATCTAAAAGACTGAGTAAGCTACAATCTCTAATCTATGAGAATACCGTAATCTTCGATTTTTGAGACTAAAAAATCATGAATGTTAAAAAATAATAGAAACCAATTGAACCCTTTTTGATTTTACAGAAGGAGAATCAGATTATATCTCAAAATTTAATATTGATAGTGAAAGAATCAATGTAAAAGCTGCTTTTTAAGGCGTTTGATGTTTCAATATTTTCTTTGTCCAGTAAATATTTATTTTTTAGAAGTCATTAGAAGATGTTTAATTCTCCTTGTTTACTTGATCAGTTGCGGGTTAGTCAAGGAGACACTGTTGAAGACTGTTTAGCAGCTCTAGCTACTGGAGCAGGCAAGTCAATTCAGCGGCGAGCCTCAATTTCTAGGTTGTCCAATGATGAAGTACGTGCCAAAGTTGTACGAGAACTAGTCCATACGGAACGCGACTTTGTGAAGTTGCTCACGGATGTTGCTGAGGTATAAAATCCCATTTTAATGCTATTAAAAAAGTTCGATAACTCAGACTGGCCATGCGTAAGAATAATTATCAACTTATCGGAAATAAGTATTTATATTAGTTTAAACCTTCTGTAGTGTAGTGAATGTAACGCTGGCCCTTTGATTAAGAGGTCCTTTGTTGAATTCCGAGCTTGGTGACCCGAGTTTGATAGTCCTCAAGCAAGAGTTGCTTGTTGAGGAAAGATTTAAAGGGGGTGAGATCCAAGCTCAGGGCTCAGGGGGCTTTTGTGCTTTTCTACGGAGAAAGAAAATCACAGACGAATAAGAGTTCAATGTGCTTTTTAATATTTTCTTTAAAAATAATTTGATATTTCCAAGGAGAGAGCTTGAATGTGACTTATGCCATATTTTCATAAACCTTGCTTGATTATATCATATTTTATCTCACTTGACTTTTCTTTTTCCATTATAGGGTTACTTAGCAGAATGCCGTCGAAGAACAGATATGTTCACCGAAGATCAAATCAACACTATTTTCAGTAATCTACCAAATATCCTTCGACTACAATCTTCGTTTTTAGAGGACCTAGAATCTAAGATAGACTGGAGTGCCTCTCATAAAAGTTGTGTTGGCGAAGTCTTCCTGAAACATGTAAGGAATCTTAAGTCTCGTTTTATTTTTAATTGAGAAAATGCATTACTTTGCTACTTATTTTTTCTCCTGTAAGTCGTGGCAAAGACAATTATACTTCCATTTAAGAGTATTTGATTGATTGATTTTAACTGATTGATATATTTTGACGTAGACCAATTAAAGTAGTTAACATTTCTTGAAACTTACAAGTTTCATCTCTTCAGTTTTTAAAAAAATTAGTGTACATTTTTCAACTTTTCGTTTAAACAAAGCTTATCACTGATGTAAGAATCCGGTTCAATTTGACTTGCCTGAATCTAGACATATACCTTGTACGTATAGTTAATCAGGTTACTGTACTGCCAGACTAAGAAAAAACATAGGTATAAGCATTCAAATGTTCCTAAATTTCTTCTCAGAAAATATGTATTTTTATATTGTAGAAAGTTACGGATAATTTTTCTTGAAATTTCCAGACTTTTTCGATCAAATTATGAACAAGATTCTCTGATAAATCGGAAGGAAAAGATTCACAAAGTTTCCTGAAAATTTTTGATTTGCCATGGCAATATCTGACGGCTCATATGGCTCCTTTACTTAGCATGGTAGTGTATTTAGGTGAAATAAGTCAGTAAAAATCCTAATCCAACCCAATTTTTTTCGTCTGTTTGTTTTACAGAAATCAAGTTTTCGAATGTACTCTGAATATTGCAACAGTCATCCCCTAGCATTATCAACTCTTCAAGATCTATATCAATTAGATAGTTACAGTAAATTTTTTGAAGCATGTCGTCTGATGCGAGGCCTAATAGAAATCCCCCTTGATGGTTACCTTTTGACGCCTATCCAAAGAATATGCAAATACCCTCTCCAATTAGCTGAATTACTTAAATATACCAAAGTAAGTATTTCTATCAATTATTTATTTATTTATTTATTCACTCTCTCCTCTCCCCCTCTGTTTCCTGAATTCTAGACTGGTTCAATTCTATTTTTCTATACTTCAGATTCTGATTTCAATTCTCAGACGGTTTTATTTTGTTGTTTTTTTTCAATTTTTTAAAGCTTATTTTGATTATGAGAAGATACCAAATTAACATTTAATTTAAATTAAAAGCACTTTCTCAACATCATTTCGACTCTCAAGTTCTTTCCGTGTAATTATACAGGGTGTCCCAGGATTAAGTACAAAAATTTAAGGAGTCGATTCTTTAGGTCAAAAAAAGACGTTTTTGTAGTATAACTTTTTTTCCAAAAACGCTTTTCCTGGGGGCCACCCCCTACCCCCTTCGCGCCCACTCGCGCTCCATTTAGTCTCCAGGGATTATCTCGAAAGTGATGAGTCCTAGCGATAAAATGCAAGGCACATTAGACAACATCTAGAAATTTAAGTTTACATGTTTTCGTCCATCAATTTTGACTTTGATCATCATCCAATGCTCACACCTTTTTCAATTCCTCTGTGTCCATTTAGTGTGATCATCAATTTCAGTGACCTGTTTCTCTTTTTCCAGCCTGATCATCCTGATCACGAACAAGTTTCAGAGGCTCTCGAAGCTATGAAGAATGTGGCTGTGCTAATCAATGAAAGGAAACGTAGAATGGAAAGTCTAGAAAAACTGGCTCTTTGGCAACAACGCGTCGAAGGCTGGGATGTGAGTAACTTTAGACATTATTTTCATCTAAATTTTTTATTCATAACATTATTGTCATTTTTATTTACATTGTTTTACAAATTTTTGCTCTTTTAATTTGGAAATGATGGGAATAGGTCACTTGGCGAGGTACAAATTTAAGCATTGAGATTTATATAGAAAAGAATATCTGTAAACACCATTCTGTTCAACTTCAAGAAGCCCCTATCGCATCAAACGAGGCTTGTGCTGCCATTTTTTGAATACCACTTTGATTTCTCTTTTGTGTATTTTTTTCATTTGCTATCAATTTCTGTTAATATGAATTTTTGAGCTGACATCTAGGTTAATGTAAAATCATTAAGTTTCATCCATTAGAAAATAAGTTTGTAGGCTCTCTTCAATTAGGTTTCTAATCGCTTTTCAATGGATTGTTTTAGCCTTATTAAAAGATTATTTTTAGCACATAACTTGTAAGCTAAATTATCAGCAAATAAACTATAGAATTTATGAGGTTTCTCTGAACATGAAGAAATCGTAACTCAATTCTCGACCAATTTGTTTCCAGGGAGTTGATCTAATTGAACAGAGTTCCCAACTGATTCATCAAGGAGAAGCAGTAAGAATGACATCTAGTCGACGAACAGCAAACATTATAATTTTCCTGTTCGATCATCAGTTGATCTACTGTAAAAAGGTGAGTCCTCAAATTAATCAACCATTAAATTTTCCAATCAAAGCAGGAACTTGCAGAAGTTCCGTACTTGTGAATAAATTATCTCTGAAAAAGTATTTTTTAGCTTTTTGCAGAAAAGCGAAGTTAGCATCCCTTTTCCCTAAAGTGAAATCCTGCATTGAGTTCAGACGCTTGATACAGGATCACACTAAATACTTCAAACCACCACAAAATTTTCAAACAAATTCATTAGATTTTTGTTCTGTGTGTTTTTTCTAATGCTTTAATTAATGTTGATTGCAGGATATCCTCAAAAGAAACACTCTTGTGTACAAAGGTAGAATGCCAACAGACTATTGTGAAATTTACAGTCTCCCAGATGGTAAAGGTAGGTTGTACGATTGAAATTTGTCTCAAATCTAGCTTATGTCTACATATTCGTTTCCTGCAATATTGATTCAAAATGCCTCATTGATGCCAACATTGTTTTGTTTCATCATAGGCTAAAAATGATAACACCACATCTTGTAGATGAAACTCCCAACCCTTGTACCATAGTTTACGATGTTGCAGACTTCCTCTTATTCTTCATTTTTTAAATTGAAAAGTACCGACCGAAAATTCTGAAAAGCTGCAGTGATTTTTTTTCTATGTACGAAGAAAATGCTCTGTAAGCTCCTGAAATAATTTTTGTATTATGTCCCTCTTAAATCTGAATAATTATGTCTAAGAAATGGAATTATTTCCACCAAGAAAATTGTGTCTTTTACGTCCTCAACAAAACTGAGAAAGCAGTTAATTTGTGTACCAGCTGGAAATGATAATTAGAAAATAATTGAATACATTGCCAGAAAAAAGGGACAAAGGCAAAAACCTAGTTGGTGCCTCTCTGCTGGATGCGGTTCATGTACAACTTCCCTGCCATCTTCCAAGTGCTGAGTTGCATTGAAGTAAAAAATAAAAATAAAAATTGATCACAGCAGAAAAAATTCCTGAGTAAGCTCTCGGATACAAGCTATTAGGATTTTAATGTGAAACAGCACATTATGCGTTCTCTTTTGTTTACAGATGGCAGTTTGGGTGTGAACATTCGCAATGGAATCAAAATTTGTGCCAGCATAAGTGAGAAAACTTTAGTCTTTTGTTGCCGATCGGAGCAGGAAAAAGGAAAATGGCTTGAAGCTTTCTCAGAAGAGCGGAAGTTGGTCGAGCAAGACAAGTTAGATGGATTGGAATTCGCCCCTGCCGCAAGGCAACTAGCGCGAACAGCAGCTGCAAGATGCCATAGAAGACCGCCTTCCAAACCTAGAAGTAAGTTACCCCATGTTTTATTATAAATGAAAGTTTTAACTGTGACACAACTGCAACATAGATGAAAAATTTCAATTTTCCCGGATCAAAATTCAGTTCAAACTTTAATATACATAACATTGATTGTTTTGGAAATACTCACTCAAATTTTGAAGAGAGGAAATCGAATCTTAGGTTCTTAATTTGTTGTTATTATGATACATTTTACTCTTAATTTTCCAGATCTTTGCGCATTTCATGATTTTTGTGATTTTGATAGTTACAAGTGAAAAATGTAAAAGCATTGTAACCAAATGTTTTCCTTTTCCCTTTCCCTTGATGAATGCCTAATGTATTTTTAAGATCATTTTGAATTGTTGAAATTTGCTGATTCTTACATGTTTCTAGCTGAAGTTGACTAATAAATCAATGGGTCAGTTTAAAGCAAACCTAGCAGAATGCGTCAGTTTAATCGATTGTTTGCTTTATTTTCCTCTCTGTAGGTTTCTGCCTCTAAAGGCTGTATCTTATTCTTGTATGTTTAATTTTGTTTGTTTTTTAAATTTTTCAGACAAATACAAAAGGGGCGCAATCGAAGTAAATACCTCAGAAGTACCTCACATGAACGGGACGAGTCACTCTAGCAATCGAAAGGCTGGAAGTTGGTGGTACCCCTTCGGAACAAGTAAGAGTAGCAGTAAGAAGAACCGCACCTTCATCCGAGCGAACAACCTACAACCGATCATGCATCCTGCTTGAGATTGGTCCCACCAACTCTCGCACACATTCACTTTTCAAGACATCGATCTTCTATTTTTTTAACACACTGTCTCTCTTGTATGTATTATTCATGAGAAATTACAAGGAAGACTGGCAATTTTTTGTCTGTCTTTAGACAATTTTGAATCAGCATTTTTAATCTTTAGTTTCATCATGTACCTTGTTCAATTTTTTTTCTTTTTCTCACTCAGTCATTTGTATCATCGATAACTTTCTTCTTGACTGGACGTAGAGACATGATTTTTTTGGCATCCATATGATTACATATAATTTTTCCCAAACTCTTTGTCTTTTTTCAGGGTTAAATTGAGTGGATCATGATTTTTATATCCCTGGAAAACTATAATATTTTGCAATCATAGGAAACGAATTTTTGAGAACATCAATTTATTTTTCCAGCCATGATGAAGTCAAATATTTTCATAAAAAATCATATCTATTCTTTTTTTATATGCCTGTTCTAGTCTATAATGCATATTGTATTTTTTAATGTGCATTTTCTCACTTTAATTGAAAGAAAAGCACCAAGATACTCCACTAACTTTATGTAATAGCAGTTGAGTTATAGTAAGTACTCTTTATAGTCAAACGCAAATTTACCTTCTTGACTTTAATCTCAAAATGTATGTAGTTTTTCTGTAATTACATATTACCTTTTGGAAAGTTTCAACATTCCTCTTTTCATATGAATTTGCAAGAATTGATTTGCAGAAATAGTGGTTCGTTGACAGTGGACTCATTCACGGGATAAAGTGTATCTATATTTGACATCTTTAGCAAATCGACGGTGAAACTGCAAAAATGCATATCTCAGTTGCGTTATTTCAAAATATCCGCTCCTGCTCTATTTTTTAAAATAAAACATTACCAGTTCCATCATAGCTTGAAATTTTTATGAAATATTCTTCAGACGCAGAAGAAGAATGACATAAGTTTTAAAGAAATGACGTTCAGGAGTCTTTCACGTTGAACATAAGTATGACGGGAAGTCTGCAATGCTGCAAACCAGAATACGTATTTCTGCAGTTTCATCACCATCATGTTGGACTTTATCTTGTCTTACTTCGTCTAATATTTTTCCATCAATTCATTATTCTTTCATTTCGAAAATTCTCAAGTCTCTCGTAACCTGAGTCAGCTTCAAATAAATTTATGCCTTGCTGCAAAAAACGCCGCATGAACATTCAAGAGTTGCCAAATTTCCTTCCGTAAAATTATTATTTTTAGGAAGTGTTGTGAAAATTTTCTCTTTAAATTTTCAGATACTTTAGATGTGATTGAGAATAAAATTTTCCAAAAAAATTGGAGGGAAAATATACTCTGTTTTCCATTTAAATTCGTTTTTTATTGAAAGAAGTTTGGCAACGTCTGAAGGCTCATACGGCGTTCTTCCATAGCATGGCAGATCATAAATCAGTTGACTAATCAAGTAATTCCAATTATTCGAGGGTTGTCCTTGTTTTCAAAGCTGATGTATAAGTTTATCTTGACTCGATTAATACAACGTACTCTTTAAAATATTTTAGACTTTTACACTGTAGTAAGATGTAAAATCAGTCCTCTACTATGGCTAAAAATAAGCTTGGGATTATTTTTCTATTTTGTGAAACTTCAGCAAAGTAAGATAGTTTTAAAAATGTTCCTGTTAATGAATCCTAAGTATAGAAAACAGAATTATTATGATACACCACAAAGCTGGTAGGATTGAAAATATTTCACAATTATTGTTTTTACGTTTAAAAATATCTTGCAAAATATCAATTATTATCTCCTAAAATAAAACAACTGGTCCGTGAAGGATGAAGTTATCAAGAGGCTCGTCAATTTTCTCAATTTTCCCGTTCCCTCTGAGAATATTTAATGTTGTTTTATTTCTTTTTTATCTGTTGTCTTAACTATTTTAATTGTTATGATTTGTATAAAAACAATTTTTGCAATTCACTATCTCTGTCTATAAGCCAATTAATACTACCTTGTACATATGTGTTGGCGACTAAAGTATGTAGTATTTTTATATTGCTGAACATTTTTATCAATTTTAAATTAAACTGTTTTGTTCCTTTTAAACAAATCTTTTTGATTAATATCCTTTTTTATACTGGACATCTACATCCTGGGCTCTAGCAGAGAGTATAGAACTAGGCCGTGTCGGGAGCAATATGACGGCATATGATAGCAGAGAGACTGTTTCCGCTAATGAAGGTGGAAAATTCTCTATGCAACAATTTGTTGCGCTTGGAAATTTTTCTCGACAAGCCAAAATGTGCCTCAATTTTGGATCAATATTTCCACGCTGGTGGCGGTGCAAGATGGCACTGCAATGCTGACGTTGCGATGACGACTAAATTCTTTCCCTGATGACCCGTGGAAAATTCTCTGCGCAACAATTTGTTGCGCTCGGCTTACAGTTTGTTTAGCATAAATTCGTCTAAATACTCATTTCGCTGATGCTACAATTGGACGTATTTATGCTAAATGGAACTAGAGATGGGTGGAATTGATGGGGCGTGCTCATTTGAGCTGCATAAGAAACAATGTTTAAGTGGGCGACACTCCTTTTGGGGAAATGGAAAAGTGGGATTTTCAATTAAATCAAAAGGAACTAAACGCCTAAGTATGCTAATTCATGAGCAAAGGGCTTGTGACAAGAGCATTGTGGACAGGGCTCATGAGTTGATGCCTCGGATCGTCGTTCCTGGGCTTCACTGTTGCCGCTGATGTCACTGGCGCCTGATAATTCCCATTCATTCTTATGGCCCTCAACTAAGGAGCGCACTCCTATTTTTCTACCCGTCCTTTTAGCATAAATACGTCCAATTAGATCATGAATATGACCAAACAGCTGCAAACAACTATCCCTACCCTACGTAGCCGCTATCATTGCCTATCAGAATACCTATTGAGGAAGAACTGCTCTTTACTCTGCGAAAAACGCATTGCCTAGCCTCATTTGAAAGTCAGCAACAATATTAAGCCTCTATAAATTTATAAATTTAAAAATTCGCTTTAAAAATGTCAAGAAGCTACATTACATTTTAAGTTACTTTTCAAGTGCTCATCAATACCTATACCATCAAAAACTGCAGAAGTTTTCAAATCTCTCTTTAATTTAAAACAAAATTTATGTAAAAAAATCAGATCATTCTTTTCTTTTTATTAATTCCTTATCGTTCGAAAATGTTCATGATATCCCATCAAAAACACTTCCATGTAAAGATGACCGGTCAAACTAAAAATATTAATATTCGTCGCCTGAAATGCAATGATATCATACAAGGTAGGCGTCGTGGAAACATAAATAAAAATGTAAAATTTCTCCTCTCTTCAATGTTATTACCGGAAAGAAGCACATCATATAGACAGAAAAAAAATAATTTAAAAAAATCGAAACGAATTTACCTATCAATTTTTTTGTTGTACCAAAGATGGTACAAAAAAATTGATAAATTTGTATTGATTTTTTTAAATTAATTATTTTTCTGTCTATGATTTGCGTTGTTGGAGAGAAGAGAAATTTTAAAATTTTAAATGAAATTTACATGGCGCCTGCCTTGTGTGATATCATTGCATTTTATATCATGGCATCTGAATAAAGGATTTTTTTTGCCAAACTCGATTTTTCATAAAATTAGTGGGTTGCGGAAACAAAAATGGTCGATTCGGAGTCAGCAGCAAAAAATAAGATAAAGTAGCCCAATTAGCTATCTGAATAAAAAGATTTTCTGCCCTTCCTGCCTCAAAACAAACAAATTGCTTTTATATGGGACTAGTTTCTCGAGAGATAAATAAAATTACTAAGGAAGTCTGCAACGTCGCAAATGGAGAAATGTCGTCTCTCATTTTGCCCACAAATATGTATGTATTAAATTGAAGGCATAATGACCGGCCTCTCTCGACTTATATTCGTCTGTAACGATAAACAATGGGACGCGCGTGCTACGGCGCCTTGATACAACTATACAACCTCGACGGATGTCCGTATTGCGTCCAAAAATTTGAAGGCGTTTTGACTTCCTACGCATAATACGTGTCGTTGATTCGATCGACGAACGCGTTGGTCGGCGGGACCTCGATGCAACTATTTAAGCTTGTTGGATGTCCGTATCGGTCCGACTGAAGTGCGAAGCCACGTATCTCCATTGCGGTGTTTCAAAACTTCCGTTCCTAATTCATTTCTTCCATGAGAAACAATCCAAATTTACGACTTTAAATTTTGAACCAAATCTTCTGCTATCAAATACGAAAAATCATGGAGATGTTAAGTTTTATGTTGACCAGTTTCTCGAAGGAAAAATAAAATTTCTAAGGAAGTCTGCAACGTCGCAAATGAAGAAATGTCGTCTCTCATTTTGCCTACAAATATGTATGTATTAAATTGAAGGCATAATGACCGGCCTCTCTCAACTTATATTCGTCTGTAGCGATAAACAATGGGACGCGCTTGCTACGGCGCCTTGATACAACTATAGAACCTCGACGGATGTCCGTATTGCGTTCAAAAATTTGAAGGCGTTTTGACTTCCTACGCATAATACGAGTCGTTGATTGGTTGATTCGACAAACGCGTTGGTCGGCGGTGACTGGGACTCGATGCAACTATTTAAGCTTGTTGGATGTCCGTATCGGTCCGACTGAAGTGCGAAACCACGTATTTCCATTGCGGTGTTTCAAAACTTCCGTTCCTAATTCATCTCTTCCAAGAGAAACAATCCAAATTTACGACTTTAAATTTTGAACAAAATCTCCTGCTATCGAATACGAAAAATCATGGAGATGTTAAGTTTCATGTCGACCAGTTTCTCGAGAAATAAATAAAATTTCTAAGGAAGTCTGCAACGTCGCAAATGGAGAAACGTCGTCTCTCATTTTGCCCAAAAATATGTGTGTATTAAATTGACGTTATAAAGACCGGCCTCTCTCAGCTTTTATTCATCTGTAACGATAAACAATGGGACGCGCTTGCTACGGCGCCTTGATACAACTATAGAACCTCGACGGATGTCCGTATTGCGTTCAAAAGTTTGAAGGCGTTTTGACTTCCTACGCATAATACGTGTCGTTGATTCGATCGACAAACGCGTTGGTCGGCGGTGACTGGGACTCGATGCCACTATTTAAGCTTGTTCGATGTCCGTATCAGTCCGACTGAAGTGCGAAACCACGTATCTCCATTGCGGTGTTTCAAAATTTTCGTTCTTAATTCATTTCTTCCATGAGGAACAATCCAAATTTACGACTTTAAATTTTGAACCAAATCTTCTGCTATCGAATACGAAGAATCATGGAGATGTTAAGTTTTATGTCGACCAGTTTCTCGAGAGAAAAAAAAAATTGCTAAGGAAGTCTGCAACGTCGCAAATGGAGAAACGTCGTCTCTCATTTTGCCCACAAATATGTATGTATTAAATTGAAGGCATAATGACCGGCCTCTCTCAACTTATATTCGTCTGTAACGATAAACAATGGGACGCGCTTGCTACGGCGCCTTGATACAACTATAGAACCTCGACGGATGTCCGTATTGCGTTCAAAAATTTGAAGGCGTTTTGACTTCCTACGCATAATTCGTGTCGTTGATTCGATCGACAAACGCGTTGGTCGGCGGTGACTGGGACTCGATGCCACTATTTAAGCTTGTCGGATGCGAATTTGCTATCGAAGCACCACCTTTTTTCAGAGCATACTTTTGTAATCTTCCATATCTAACAGCGCACCAGTCTTGTGTCATTTTCAAACAGTGCGCCAGTCCGTGTACTTTTCTGCTGATGGCTGCCTTGCCACCTCTGTTCACCTAAGTATACCCTGTCTCCCCCTGTACTCATTATTTGCATGAATTCTAAAAGTTTCAAGCGCATCTTTCTATGCAGAAAACTCTTTTTAACTCGAACGTCCAAGATTTTGATCTCCTCCTCCACCTTATTTTCTTGACAGAACAACGTAATATTTGCAAAAAACACCATTTTTAACTTTAGAGTAAGCCAACCACTTACATTTTCCTAACCAGTTTGGCTGTTTTAAATTTTTAATTTTTTACCTTTGAAATTCGGAACTGGAAACTGAAAGTTAGGAGGGAGGATCCAAATGTTTTTAAGAATATTTCTTCTGTCACTGTCTTCAGTTATTCCGGACGCTGCGTACTTGGAGATATCATTGTAAGGCACATTTTGATAACTTTTATTTATTATTGAAGTCGCGAGGGGGGGATCAACTGACAGTTTTTCGGAGGAGGCTCATTTTCACTCGCAGATGCACTGATTTTCGGTCTCTTCATGATTCAAAATTTGTCCATTTTATTTTCAACTACACTTAACTACTTCTGATTAGCTAGGCTGGAGACGGGATTAAAACAGCACTATGTGACCATGTTACCCGGGAGACTGAAGATAGGAATTCAAACTTTAGACCAGGAGAAAGAGTTCATGCAGTCAGATTTTTGTGTCTCAAGAACATTTTAATTTTTTCGAGTTGGTGTGTTCACATTCTCACTGATTCAATTTTCTGTGAATGCAACTTTCTGCCTTTTTTTCATTATCCTGCCATGCTGGTTTCACTCCTTGTTCATTCGTTCTCCCAGAGCTGTCCCAACCTAACTTGATCTCTCATTATCTTCAAAAATTGTTGTTTCTCAATTTCTCAAATTATTACTTTATCGTACAGAGGAGGAAATGTCAAGTTGCTTCCCACTTGTGATGTTTATTACTACTTTGTTAATGTAATTTAAATTATTGTTGAAAAAAAAAAGATGCATCGATTGGGAAATAAAAACAAGCAAAAAACAATGAAAAACGTTATTTTATCAGTTTATTTTTATAAAAATTATAAATTTATCCCCGTATGGGGGACTGTTGTCACAGGTTTAGCAATCCTGCGGACCCCAGCTGGTAGCCCCTGCCTCAAAGGGGGCAGTGGAGATGGTCACCGGCCTCTGGGCGTATGAACCACCTGCTAGAAGGGCAGACAGGGCTCTGAGCTGAAGTGAAAGCAACCTGTCTAGGAGAGGCAACTCCGAAATCAAACCCTGGTCCTCCAGGTTGGGGGTTGAGTCATCGGGCTAACTCCCCGGTACTTGTAAAAAGTTTTACTGTTAAACGACCTAACAATACAAGCCTCGGTACCACTACAACTAAACGGACACGTCGACAAAAATTGAGAAAACGGACAATGGTATTTGGGACGTGGAATGTCCAAGGCATTTCAAATAAGTTACCGGAAGTGATATCGGAGATTCAGAAACTTGGAGTGGATGTCGCTGTTCTTACTGAGACCAAGAAAAAAGGGCACGGGTCAGAGAATTACGGTGACTATGATCTATTCTACAGCGGCGTAGCCAAAGATCAGCGTGCTCAGCAAGGAGTAGCAATACTTTTGCGGAGAAGCCTACGTAAGTTCGTGGGCACTTGGGAGGCCGTCAACCAGCGCATTATCAAAATGAACCTTAACCTGTACGGACATAAGATCACGCTGCTCGGAGTATACGGTGTAAATGATGATGCCACTGTCGCATGTAAGGACCAATTCTTCGAAGATCTGAATGATGAAATACTGAACGTTGGTGCTGGCAGGGAAGCCATTCTTATGGGTGATTTGAACAGCAGAACGGGACGACGAGTAAACTGTAAAGTTGTTGGACCGTTTGGGGAGGATGCTGTTAATGATAACGGTGATCGGCTCATCTCAATTTGTTCTCAAACTGAGATGAAAATTTTGAATGGCTTTTTTCAACACAAAGACATCCATAAGTATACCTGGGTCCAGCCAACGCGAGGATTGAAATCCATCATCGATTATATAATTGTAAAGCACACTACTAAGTTGAAATTGCAGCAAGTTAGAGTGTGCAGGGGACTCTCTTGCGGCAGTGATCATCATTTCCTCCGAGCAGATATAGCGTTTCCCGTTAAAGGGATTAAAGGTAAAGAGCCAATGCCTGAGCAACAGCAGAGTCAGGGAACGCAAAATCATGAAGTATGGTATAACATCGAAAGTTTGGAGCACCCTAGTGTCAAGGCTCTGTATCGGAAACGCTTAGATGAGAAGCTGGGGGATGGACTCTCGGGTACCACGGAAGAGCAATATCAGTTCATCAAAGATTGTATCCACTCTGCAGCGAAAGAAGCCCTAGGTGTTCACAAAACCAGTAATAAATACCAGCATCCTTACTGGTGGGATGAAGAAATTGAAGACGAGATAAATCTTAAGAGGCAAAAACACCTTATATTTCTGTCGTCTAAAAAGACTGAAGATAAAGTTGCTTACAGGAAAGCTCAGTCTAAAGTTAGGAGCCTCATAACACGGAAGAAGAATGAAGCTTGGGAAAGCAACTGTTCTAGAATTAACACCTACCTAGGGGGGAGAAAAAGTGCTGAGAGCTGGAAGTTAATTAAAGGTTTGCGTAGAGACATGAAGCGCGACATCGTTTCTCCGATATCACTTAAAAAACTGGAGGATCATTTTAAAGATCTTTTGACGGAAAGGCGCCCAGAGTTTCGAGACAACAGCACGGACAACGGAAGAATGAACAACTTGGAGATCCACACTTGTGACATAATTAAAGCGGTCAAAGAGCTGCAAAATGACAAAGCACCGGGTCCTGGTGGGATTCCTGTCGAGTTGGTCAAGTACGGGACTGCCAAGCTCTTTGAGTGCCTCAGAAAACTGATGCAACAATGCATCAGGGGTGACGAGGTACCAAGGGAGTGGAAGGAGTCTTGGATCAAGGCCATCTACAAAAAGAAGGGAAGGAAGGACGACTGTAACAACTACCGGGGGCTCTCAGTGACCGGGACAATAAGCAAAGTGTACGGGAAGATACTGAAAGCGAAGATCGAGGACGAATGGCAGGATCACGAAGCAGAGGAGCAGGCTGGTTTTAGAGCTGGCAGGTCTACGATAGATCACCTCTTTGTTATTGTCCAGGTCATTGAGAAGAAAATGGCCGTAGCTCAGGAACTGCATTTAATTTTTGTGGATCTCCAGAAGGCGTATGACAGCGTGCCGTTGGTGAAACTTTGGGAGGCCTTGGAAAAATCGAATTTTAACGGGGGGTTGATTGACGCTGTTAAGCGATTTTATAAAGGGAGTTTTACCAAAGTTAAGTGCCATGGGGGGTTGTCAGCGGGATTTTATGTGACTAAGGGTTTAAAACAGGGATGTTGTTTGTCGCCAACATTATTTAAAATTTATCTCGAGTGCGTGCTAAAAGAATGGAAAAAGAAATGCTCTGGTATGGGTGTCCCCTTGGGTGATCTCGAAACTCTGTTTACTCTGTGCTTTGCTGATGACCAGGTGGTGGTTGCTCAAGATCAAGATGACGCGGAATACATGATGCGCAAGCTAGTAGAAGAGTATCGGAAGTGGGGTCTGGAAGTCAGCATATCCAAATCTGAGAAGATGACTTTTGGCGGTGATCAGCAAAGCATTGAGTTGGAGGATGGGCAGCAGATCAAAGGCTGCGAGCACTTTAAGTACTTGGGAGTGCGGTTGACCCAGGATGGAAGGACGGATCAAGCTATCAGGGAAAGGAACACCTTAGCAAGGAAGGCTATAGCGATGTTAGATGGAATCCTCTGGGATCAGCGGATTTCCAAAGATAACAAGAGGAGGATATACAACGCTGTAGTCAAAAGTATATTAACATACGGATGTGAAGTTTGGCAGCTGAAGAAACGGACACAGGATATGCTAAGAGCAACGGAGATGGATTTCTGGAGAAGGTCAGCAGGAATTTCTAGGAGAGATCGGGTCCGTAATGATAGAGTGCGTCAGATAATGGAAGTCGAAAATGACATCGTGTTCGACGTCATGACCAAACAACTTGTTTGGTATGGTCATGTCAATAGGATGACGGAAGAGAGGCTGCCAAAAAAGATGCTTGATTGGGTTCCTCCTGGGAGGAGACGTAGGGGACGCCCAGTGCGAGGTTGGCGACAGGGGGTGTTAAATGAGATAAGAGATTGTCAACTCCCTGATGACCTGTGGGAAGACCGAGCTTTGTGGCGATTAGGCGTCGCACAGCGCCAAAGAGCGCTATAAAAGCGACTCATATATATATATAAATTTTAATTGAAATTGGTCTTGTACTTCTTTATCTCTACCATCATGTAATGAATGTTCGGAATTTGATTACGGGCATTCAAACTAATCAGTTTCAAGAATCGATGGTAATACTCAACAAACTGTGTTAAAGTAAGTTGGAGCAAATTTGCTCCGGTCACAAGATTTGGGAATGATGAGAGTACTTCATTACGAATACTATCCAAAGATTTTTTCCAAGATGTCACGAAAGGTTGAACAATGGCCAATTGCTTATCTAGAAAAGGAAAGGAAAGGGTAAAGGCAAATTAAAATAATATAAAGTCATAACTTAAAAAAAGCATGATGTTTCCACACTTCACTTTGTTGAACTGGTGCAACCACAGATTGATCTGTGATCAATTACTTTCAAGACCTTTATTTCCAGCGAACAAGCCACCGGTGGATTATGAGTTAGTGGCTACTCCACTAGGAAGAATTGTTAGCATAAATGTCTTGTTAAGTTGATGGTTTGGTGTTTCTGATAATAATTGGGAGCGAAATATGTACTTAGAGCTAGGGATGATGTTTAATGAGCCTGAATCTATCTAAATCAAACAGCTAAGTTTCCATCTAACATCGTCACTGTCCGGTGAAAGTATCACAAGCTCCACTTTGCAAACTTTTCAGGAGACTCGAAAAACTAATTTGCGACCACATAAGACTGAGTTTTAGCTTCAAAATTTGGGTGCTCATCCAGCACAACTTCCTGCCTTGACTTTTACTAAAATTTCTAAAAAAAACCATTTCTTTCTTCGAAAATTGGCCCTTGTGATACCGCCTTCTCGGGGCATTCTAAGAACCCTTGGCGCTTGTGATACAAAAGCTCATAAAGTTTGATGGAGTTTTTCCCATTTGTAATCGAACCAAAATTATTATTTTCGTATGCAAATCCATCTTGTTAATTCAGATCCAACCATAACTCAATAACGATAAAAATAGCGCTTGTGATACTCCGGCCAGAAAGTGACAAATTGCTCCAGGTCATTCCAAGAGTTGTTAATACTAAAATTGTAAAAACAATCCCAAAGATGAGCAATCACCTAACTTGGCGCTTGTGATACTTTGCTCTTTGCTTCTGTTACTTTGCTCACAAGCGCCAATTCATTAACTTCAAAGGAGTATTTTCCATAATTATTTATTTTTATTCTAAAAAAATATTATATACAAAATATTAAGATGCATTTTCATACGAGAATAATTTAGCATCAGGTCATTCCGAAGGTTGCTTTAACAAAAATTGTAAACGATCAGAAAGGTGGGCAGTTGCCAAACTTGGCGCTTGTGATATTTCTCTCCCAAATGATGCCTGTGATACGAAAGTACATCAACTTTGATCGATTTTCATTTATATTTCTACATTTTCGTTCTAAAAATTATTATTTTCGTGTGTAAATGCATCTTATTATTTCGGAACTCTTCATAACTCAATTCCGGTAAAAATGGCACTTGAGATACTTTGGCCGAAAGGTGACAACATACTTTCACTTCTTAATTTGGAGCCTTTAACTTGAAAATATAATAATATTATCTTAAACAAGATATTTCCTCCTATTGTTTATTTCAATTTTGACTGGAGGAAAATTTATAACTAGATAAGTTTCAAATTTCTGATCAACAGAACTAGTACACCTTGATTCACTTTAAATTCAGTACTGACTTCGGTTGTTGGTATTTTACAAAGGAGTTAGTTTAGCCTTAAAAGAAAAGAATGATAAATTTTTAAAACCTAAGACATACTTTCAAGTTTTTTCATTTCCTCCGACTGCTTTTTATCCCCTGACATTTCTTCCTCCTTCACGTACTGAATCATCCCGCCAAAATGGGGTGATAAGATCTCCTCGGCAAACTCCATGTTCCTTGCATGGAGATTAGCTCGAAAATTGTCCACTTCTTTAGAGTTTTCTCGCGTACGTTCCTGCAAGCACATAATTGAAATGGACTCATTTTAAAGTGCATTAATCATGAAAACAAATGTCTTTCTTAAGAGTTGATATTGGACATTTGCTTGGTGCATACTAGGCTCAGTATGCAATTTCAGGAATGCCAGCCGTCTGGAAAAACAGAGGAATTCGAGACAGTAAGGGAACTTGCAGCGATCAGGAAAAGTTAGGGGATTTGTGGGAAAATTCAGGGAATTCCTGACACATCTACTAATCACTATGACATATTACTGATCATCCAACTGTTTATCCTTTCTGGTACTTTCTCAGACTTGTCATCTTTCAACCAGCTACTGAATGCCTTCCTCCATAATTTGATCTCTGGACAAGGAAATTTTGTCCCAAGTTTAGCATAAGTTGGTGTTATAAAAAAAGAAAGAAGAAAAAAATAGGTGGAAATTTTGTTCAAAAATCAAGAATATTTAGGAGGCAGGGAAAGCAAATAAAATCAGGAAATTTGAAGGCGAAGAAACTATGGCAACCCTAAATGAAAGAGGTTTCTTGTGCACTGACTTTTTTCTGAGGAGAGAAAAGGTACCTTGTATCAGAAAGGAAAGAATGTGCAAGCAAAATCAAGCTCGAGTTATTTACCCAACAAAAAAGTTGATTTCAATGCCTGGTTTGACCAGCGTTAATGCTGTTTTTTTGTAAGCAGGAAGTTTGAATTTACTGTTCATAATGTAAAATACAAATGTTTATTTCTCAATTATAAGCTAATTATGGAAGTTTTTGATGATTTCGTATTCTGCATGAAATTTTGTCAAAATAACATGGGCTGCACCTGGCGCTTAATTCCTTATCCTATCTAGTGGTCCAATTCATGGAATAACAAGTGAATAACAGTGGATTTTCAAAAAGTAAAGTATGACAGGAAAGCCGCAACACCTCTCTTAAAATACAGGGTGTTCCAGTTCGAACATTAAATCATTAATTTGCCTTCATTTTTTCTGTAGTTTAGATAAAGATGATTAAATTTATATTTAGACAATGATTACCATTAGAGTGGTGATTATGAGGTCATAGTTGTTGATGAGGAATATTAACTGCTCCTTGCGGGTGGTGAAAATGGCAGCCATGCGCAACAAAAAGCAGTGCGTTTCCTCTAGTAATTGAGCCAGCAGTTTGGTCACCAACTCGTGAGGAAATTCTTCACTGATTTCTATCAATGCACTACTGTACTCGGCATACCGGCGAGCAATCTGTTCAAAATGAAGAAGTGGCGAGTGATGAGCAGGGTTGTCAGATTGTGTAATCTTACATGGGTTTAAAGGAAGGAAAAGATAATATTTCACAACTGTCTGGCAACAATAGTGATGAAATAGATTTTCTTCTTTTTAGTCTATGCGGCCGAAGCGACAACAATATTCAATGATTTTTGCCATGGGTTGCAAAAACTTTCATTGCAAAATGCAAGGAATTTTCCAGGTTTACAAGACATCTATTGCAAATACAAAATTGATTAGAAAAGATTATTGTCCATAGGAGTGAAAGTTAAAATAATTCTGTAGTTTCTGCGTGGGCTAGCTCATTATTTTGAAAGCCTTTTTAAAATATCTGTTGAGAGATAATCATATTTTTAAGAGGTGTAAGGTATGTACTTACATTTTTCAAAAACAGTCGAGTTGAAAATAAATTGAATTACGTGATTTAAATAATGATTAAGGGTGAAATGACTTACATAATGTGGTTTCATTTCTTTATTGAATTTCCATGGATCACAATTTTTGATACTTTTGATGTTCAGTTGAAAAACAAATTCAAACCTAGGAATCAAATCCAAGTGAGAGATTAGTCGCNGGGGGGGGGGGGGGAACGGTTGTTACAGATGTTTTTTTGTAAAATACCAGAGAGATATAATAGAAATTGAGAGCGAAGAATAATTGGGGACTTTTCCCCTTAAAAGGGCCCATACCAACAATCGCGTTTTGAAAAAAATGAGTTTGAAGTTTTACCAATGGTTGTTTTTCATTCTAGGGTGTATTAGCTAATACACCCTGCAATGCAAATCCTTGCCAGTTGCCGGAAAGTTAAAATGAAGACCTCAAATGCTCTTTCCTCAAAGGCAGCTTTTCAATGCCGGCCGTTTTTCCTGAAAGCTCCTCAACTACATGGGACTAAAAAATGTTTGTATTGAGTGAATTTTGATCTCGAATTAAAGCATCCTTAGACTCGGCGATTTTAAATATTTTCCCTTTCAAAGGCTTATATAAATTAGAGAATAGTAAAATCAACCAAGAATTATTGGAACAATCGTTCTCATCATTGAGTAAAACTGGCATCATAATTTTGCAGTTGCTTGCATTTTAATCTGATATGACTGCCTGGTGTTTTTCGCATAAAAGCAGTTCCCAAAATAACTGAGAATGGTGCTGTAATTTTTAAATGAGGCCGCTTGAGAGCTAATCTTGGCTAGGTATGTAAGAACAACTCAGTTTCTATCTAATGACACCAAGTGGACTTAATTTCCTCAAAAATTTGGAAATGTATGAAGATTTGAAAAACAAAAAAGAAAAATCAATTAATAGATCATTAAATGACACATCCAATCATCAATAGATACAGAAATCTCAAATGGGAGGTAATCTTTAAAGGGAATTTGGAGAGATAGTTACTCCTCTTTCATCATGAATGAAAGTCCTCCTGCATTTGAAAAGTTCGCACAATATTGAATGGCATTATTTTATTTCCATTCAGATTTTAAGTTTCTCTGAAGTTCACAAAGAGAGACTTCCAAAAAGAGGGTTGCTGTTTGCTTTTTCTTCCTTCACGGAAATACTTCTTTTTGATTGCTACTAAATAGAATGAATTAAATTTTACCTGGGCCAAATACATGCTTGCACTAAATCCCAGTATTGGTCCAAGGCTGGGACAGCTCGTTTGTGACATAAGAGTTGATACCGCATGGCCAAATGAGCACACAGGAAAAGAGCAATAGTATCATAACAATGATCCACATATGTTTCCAAATTTTTCTAAGGACAGAGAAGCAAAGAGATGAGAATCAAAGAGGAGGCTAATCTTGGCAAAGCAAATCTCATTACAATTAGTTCACTGATTTCACACAAATATGCATACTAAGCATTGAAAATAGAGGATACCAATAAGATGAAAGTTCATTGGAAATAATTTATTGACAGAATTAGTAAAAAAAATCTCTTAGGGCATCACTAAAAGGCACCACTTGGTCACAGAAAGAGTGCTTTTGGGAAAAGTTGATTTAGGAGGCCAGGGTGGCTACCGCCACCTGGAATCTCCTGTAAGGAGTTACCTCAATTTCGATACATGATAATATTGGTATACCTAAATTTCGAAAAGAAAAAAAGGAACTTGAATTACCTAGATGGAACATGAATACTTATCACTTACAAAAAGGAGGTTGAGGGTTTTATCCATTACTTGACTAAAGATGTTTAAGGCAGAGGAGGGTTTGAGCATGAAAAATTCACCTAAAAATAAATACTCTCGGCAAGCATTGTCAACCAAAGCATATTGTGACGATCGAAAAATTGCCTCGAAAGGATACTGAAAACAGAAAAACAAGACATTAACGAGACAAAGAGTAAATAAAAATTGGGAAAAACTTAATAAACTTTAGAAACTTTGAAACATTTCTTATCTGATGAAGAGAAATTTCCTAGCAACCTCCGCAAGGGAGGGAGGATCACCATTCTGAATCATTCACTGTCATGGACAGTTTTCTTTCATTTTCTGAATGCCATTTATGATGAATATTAAATCTTGGAGGATTTGTGGTATGAAATGCAGAAATATGTTGCCAGAAGGGAGAGTGTTAAGGTAGCGCTGCTATAGTGTCAGACAATAGAACCGTGAAAAATGAACCACTGTTTCAATGAACTCAGAAAACTAGCTATGCCACACACATCAATGATGAAATAAAAGTTGAAGAGAGTCTGATACAAATTACTGAAGCGGATGACATCAACCATCTTTGAAGGTTAATATTTCTCTTAAAATTAAAAGCAGAAACTAGATATTGGAACAGATTTCATACGTTTTTGGTAATTTTTAAGATTTATAGATCAAAATATATGATTTTACAAATCATGTTGAACAGATGTGTGAAGAGAGCCCCTCATACTCATTTCCAGAAACTTTTTGACACCTAAAAATGTTTTATTTTTATTCAGAATTTTCTGTAAATTAAACTTGTTTCTACCAATACTTTTATTTGGTAATTTTTTTTTTCTGTAAATGAAAAAAACAAAAAACAAAAAAAAAAAGAAAAAATCTCCTTGAATACTTATGGAAAAACTTGACCTTCAGAGATAAATTATTTGGATTAATTTGTAAAGGTAAATCCTGAAGAGAGGGAACATTAATTTACTCACTCTAGCATCATTTTTATGGGCGGAATGTGGAACAATTATTGGAGCTTCTAACTGAGATGTTAGAACCTCTCCTCGATTACCAATGGAAAATATGGTGCTTTTCTGTTTGTAAGTGCTATTTTTTGAAAAAAGCGCACTTTTAGCACTGTCCTCAGTAGCCATTAAATCATGTTTTGTAGCGCATTCATCGTACTGCAAAAAAGACACGTTAAACAAAAACATTATATTAGATGAATAGTATGAGTGATTAACTCGGAGAATAAAATATTTGTGAACATGCTTATGTACCTGGAATGAGGAAACCTTTGATTTTAGGAGTGAGTTTTTCAAGAAAGATTTTTATCAAGTTATTTCTTGACTGTAATGTTCTTTCACTTTCTCCAATTTATTTCAGAATTTAAAAATATGATAAAAACGTAGAGTAACTATCTGGAAAACAAATTTAGGTAACGTAAAAGACCGTTTCTGGGGAAAAGAACCTTAGTTCTAGGAGGAAAGCGCATATTTTAGCTTTCAGCTTTAGAGTTTTCCTCAAGTTTCACCATAATTAAACCTTCCGGCAAGATATATTTAAAGTAAACAATTGCAAGTTTATACAACAGTAAATTAACAAATACTAGCCTTTTCAGGGCAGCATAAAGTAAACTTGTTCTATTTTCAGCCACGAATAGTGTCTAAGCAGTCCCATATTGAATAGACAATTGGTTTGACCGGGGGATTCTGATTTTTTCATGTGAAAAATCCTGAGCTTGATGAGAATCATAAAAAAAACAATACCAAAGTCATGAAAAATGATGGAGGTTACAGCAGGCTGAGTCAAAGGTGGCATGAAAAATAACTTACTTGGAGTTTCATTAATTCAGATGAATATGAATTGAAGTAGGAGTAATAAACTTTACTCATAGTATTGACGTACTCAGTGCAGACTTCCATTGCCACTGCCCTTTCATGGGTTAACACAAACTCATAGAAAAATCTGAATTGAGGAGAATAAAAATCCAAAATATTAGAAAAAAAATAATAATACATAGATGTTGACCAAAAATAACCAAAAGAAACCCAGAATTTTACTTACTGTTATCAAGAGCAAGGTCATTTTTTCCAAAGGAAGAAAAAACTATGTGTTTCAACTTGCCTGAATATTGCGTAAATTGCACAGTTTGCCCTATATTAGAATTAAGAAAAATCCCCTCTCTAGAATCAATCAATCAGAGTGTGGCAGAATGCTAAATCAGACGTTCATGTTTGCAGCTTGAGCCTCATGCCTTGTTCCATCCCATAAGACTCAAAGATCAAAGTTTTTTTTGTTTTTTTCCTGAGAAACACTGCTCCTTCATTTAATCTTAGGCTTCCATTTGTATGTGACAAAGCTAGGCACTCAGCTTCAGCTGCAACCAGGTCATGCAGAATTTTGTATTCTACGATGCCATATTTTTCTTAGTGTCAAAAATTTGCATTGTGTTGATTAAACTTGTGATATAGAAAGAAAAATATTCTTGAAAATAAGGAAATGATGGATTATCTGATGATCCGCATTACTTGATGGATGACTGCAGTTCATCATGTTTCTTGAAGGCTGTTATCTTTGGTGAAATTAAAGATAGAAACTAATCGTCATGCCGCATCTTACTATTTTAAGCGAATCAAGCATATATATTCTGCAAAACATGATTCTGTGACAGATGCATTTCATCAATCAACCGGTAACACAAGAGAGCTCACAAAGATGTAAAATTTTTGTTCTTATCTGGCATACTGTACCACAGCTTTCATTGCAGAGTATAGATACATTTTTTAATTGTTTATTTTACTGTTTGAATTAAACATAATCCTCATCAAAACAAAATGGGAGTTTAAGTACTGTGTACTCGTCTTTGTCCCTGCAGAATGGACCCTAGATCCTTTTTCAACCTTATTTAGATCAAAATTTCTAACACAATTGACTTGACACTGTACTATTTTGAAAAAAAATTGACAAGCAACTTTTAAAACGCTATTAGTCAGTAAATGTTTTGTCTTTTTTATGGAAAAAAACTTTGACACGTAATAATGGTTAGAATTTCTGCAAACATGTTAAAATCTTGATTTTTAATCTCTTTGATATTGAAAACCTTTTGGGTGGACTCTACAATATGTATAACGAGTTATGTGCACATTAAAATAATTCAACAAGCAATGATTCGCATCCTTTATGAGATAAAACAAGAACAGAGAAAGGACTTACTTAAATTTTAGTATAGCATTTTGAGGAATTTGATAGTTGGTCATTGGTTTCCGAAATTTTGATATTTGTTCCAATAAATACGCTCGGATCTTTATCACAGCCTTGATTTTTAACTTTTCTAAAACATCCTTGACATCTTGACAAGCTCTTACTTCTGTAAAAGATATAGAAAAATATTAAAAAGAAAAATTGATGGATTAAAATGTAAAAAACTTGCATATAATGTTAAAATTAATGATAGCAGATTCACTTGTAAAATTATTCATGTCACTTTTATGCAAGACGTCACACAAGCTAACACTGACTTAGGTTTTTCGTGTGAATAGTTCTCTGTAAACTATTTGACTATTTGGCTTTTATGTAAAAGAAAAAAAAAATGCAGTTATCTTACTCTGGACTTGTTACTTGCAAGTGCATTTGCCCTTTAAACAAATCAATAAAAAAAGAAACAGCAACAAGCGTGGAAGCTCTAATATGTTTTTATTAGAGAAGCACTCAGCGGTTTTCTATGAAGGCGTTCCCAAAGAAGATGAGCAACGCAGAGTGAAAAAACTCGCCTCACCAAAATTTCAACCATCAATTTTGAGAAAAGTACACTACTGTTAAAAAAATGACTTAGAAAAAACTATTGTCCTCCTCCTCTCTTTGATATCAGAAGCATTAAATACATGTATAATAGATAAATCTATTCTAAATAAGCGGGGCTCCTATCCGCCATCTTGTTATTGAGTCAGTGTGTCATTTGAATGTGATGCCACCAGTATACTAGAATTCTATAGGCAGGTCAAAATAAAAAAGGGTTCCCTATCAGCTGAGCGCTTAGAAATCATCATCACACACTTCTTACATACACATGGGGTGTTCAAAAAGTTTTGCACACTTCCGGATTTTGAGCGAACGAAAGCAGCTATCGATTTGCGGTTTATGCGTGCTTAAAGTAAGACGTAATTACCAAGACGTAAATACTAAAGACGTAATTACCAATAAAACAAAACCAAGAACAACTCTCTGGCTTAAAAAATGACAGAGATACAGGGTTTTGAAAATGACACGTAGCGTGACCCCTCCAGGATTTTTAGCTACAAATATGATATTCGAGGGAAGAAAAGTTAAATGAGAATTGAGTGTTTTTATTGAAAAAGCTTACAAAATCTTACGGAAATTGACAAACTTCAAGTTTCTTCATTGGGTGACACGGATGACTCAACATTCGGCTGTTTTTCGAAGTATTTTCCACCACTTTGAACACAAAGCTTCAGCCATTCTGCCCACTTCACAAGGATCGTCTTTTCAAAGTCCTCTTGACGGAAGGTTTTGAAGCATTTCTGAACAGTGGTTTTGATCTAGGCTTTGGAATGGCTCTTTCCTGAGTTAAAGAAATTTCTAAGAGGCACGAGGTTTGATTCCATAGCCTACATCAAAACCGCTGTTCGAAAATGCTTCAAAACCCTCCGTCAAGAAGACTTCCAAAAGACGATCCTTGTGAATTGGACAGAGCAGCTGAAGCTTTGTGTTCAAAGTGGTGGAAAATACTTCGAAAAACAGCCGAATGTTGAGTCATCTGTGTCACTCGATGACGAAAATTGAAGTTCGTCAATTTCCGTATGATTTTGTAAGTTTTTTCAATAAAAACACTCAATTCTCATTTAACTTTTTTTCCCTCGAATATCATATTTGTAGCTAAAAATCCTGGAGGGTGTCACGCTACATGTCATTTTCAAAACCCTGTATCTCTGTCATTTTTTAGGCTAGAGACTTGTTCTTGGTCTTGTTTTATTGGTAATTTTGTCTACTTTAAGCACTCATAAACCGCAAATCAATAGCTGCTTTCGTTCGCTCAAAATCCGGAAGTAAGCAAAACTTTTTGAACACCCTACGTATTTACCCATAATTACAAGTAAAATCATTGGAAAGGAAATAATTTGATCAATTTTCAAAATACCAAAAATGTATTCGAAAGAAGTGAAACCAACATAATTCCGCCAAAATCGTTCTTAAGGTATTGCCCCTGAAGTTCTTTTCAAAGGATCCTCTCGTCATGGTCACAGAAAAATAAACAGAGAAAATAGTTTAAAATTACCTTTGGTGCTTTGGTCTCTGACAAAACTTAACTTGTGGTTAAGAATCTTTAATTGGGCCAGAAATTCTTTGTCTGTTACAGGGGTGTCATTAACTATGCTGCAAATAAAACATACAAGAGAGAAATAAATTAAGTTTTGACAGCAAATATTCACTTTTAATGCTATAATCTTGAAATGAAAATGTATTTGACGCCATCCCTGGAAAAATGAACTTGAAGTCAAAATACTCAAAAACTGAGTTACTAGTGCCTGAAATAATAAAAGTTTAGAGAAAAAAAAAAATTAAAAAAAGAGAGACAGAAACCAAAAATGAATCGTGACACCTGAAAGTTTTCAGCCTAAAAAAGTTGTTTTTAAAATGTAGTTTTTGTGGTCTCAGTTAAAGCTTATCCAATTTTAATAAAACTACGTGCCTTATGAAGAAAAATATGAAAGCCCTTGCGACTTACTTAAAAGGATATTGGAGAGTGATTTTTGTTGTACACTCAAATCAAACGTCAAAAAAGATATTTCTCAGAAAGTAGACAGAAAAGAGTTATCTATGAGCCTATAATGCAAATAATTTTTAAATTGAGAATCTTTGATTATTTTGCATACCTTGAATTCGATTATTACAGGGGAAGCATATTCAACATTCATCCAACTAAAAAATTACAGATCTGATCAACAACCTAATAAGCCAAACAAAGTATTGCAAAAGGAAAAAAAAAATGAGAAGAACATGAGAAGTTCTAAGAGAGCGACTTGCAAAAAATTGACAGCTGAAATTGGGGAAACAGAGTGCGGGAAGCTTCTTGCGAGTGTTTAAGGGAAACTTGGATAAGGGTTCCAAGATTGCATAATTGGTGCTTTGAAGGGTAAGACAAGTTCAAAAAAGCATAACACAGGGTTAAGTCCATAGTCTTTGCATGGTCCTTGCGGGAACTAAGAAAAAGTAAGAGCTACCTTTCCAATAGAGGAGTCTGTTTCAAATATGCACCCTCTTTTTTCAGGTCTGCAAAAATGGCAATAACAGTATTCATGCCGGCGCATGAAAAGAGTAAACTTATTTAAAACAGGCTCCAACAAGACATTGCTTTTCAAGGGTAAGTTTTCAATCTATATTGCAAAATTAAAAAAAGGACAACATAAAACTTACGAAATAAGAGAGTCAGAGACAACCATCTCTTCAATGAACTGGTTTAGTTGGCCTCGAATAGCTTGTCTATTATGTAAATGCTGGCTCATTGTGCATGATTTCTGTTGTAGTGATAGTATTTCATTGCTTATGCTCCCAAGATCACTTTGAAAACTTTGCAACATGGACTCCATCCGCTAGAAAAAAAAATAAAAATAAAAATAAGATTTTTTGTTAGACAACTTTGAGTCTAACATCATAAAAGATAGCACGCCAGATGTATTGCACTCTGCACAATTTATCAGGGGCAAATGGATACAGATTGTATTAATCATTACTGTTGTCGGTAATAATCAAATTATACTTTTATCAGGACATTATGACTTTTTAGAAGCAAATAAGGACCCGACGAACGCCTCCTGATGGCAGGTATAGAAACTTTTTCCATTAAAGGATCCACAACTCAATCCTTAAAATTACTTTTTAGTATCTGTTGAGAAAAAATTGCAAGTAGAAAAATTCCTCATTGGAAGAACACCAATGAACGGTCTCTATTTGTCTCTCGTATTTTTTGGAGGTAAAATTTAATAGCACTCTGCAGGAAGTAGGCATTTACCTTCTCTCTTAAGCTTCTTCACTTTCTCAACACTGGAAAAAGTAAAACTTAAAATTATGTAAAAATAAATGGAACCTATATTTTTCTCTTTTTTTTCAAGTTTTCTGCACTGAGGAGACTTTTAATTCTATAAATTGTTACTTTTTATTAGTTATTGCTAAGAAAATTCATATTTTGCCATCAAGGTACCTAATTTAGTGCAGGATAATTGATAATGGGTCAGTTGGGCTGGGCACAGAATTGTATTTTGATACTTGATTCTTGTAGATTAGCCAAAAATAATAAGATCTGTCTATGCAGCAACTTCCTACGTTCAATATTAGCTAAGATATCGCCCTTAGAAAAGTCCGGTTTTTGACCTCATCATACGCGGTAATGACACCTTTTCCTTTCCATCCGAGTTTCACGTTGAACAACCAGTGCAAATGCGTGTCGCACCGACAAAAAAGCAAGGCAGAAGAAACCAAGGGTATCACTATCGCGGTAGATGAAGTCAACGACCTGACTTTTCAAGGGGCAATATATCAGTTAATATTGCACGTAGAAAGTTGCTGTTGGTACAGATCTTATTATTTTTAGCTGATCTACGAGAATCAAGAAGATCAAAAGATGATTCTGTGACCAGCAAAACTGACCCATTCGCTTTCTCTTGCTAAAATTCACCACATTGAAATAAGTCACAATGCAGGTGACCCCCTTTAAATCAAATTTAGTTAACCTTCAAAGATATTACAAGAGAAATTAGGTAACTGGTCAGATTCAACGGGCAGTTCAAATGGCTTTACTGAAAATGTTAATATGAACCTTCCAGGTTTTCATTCTCTTAGAATAATAGAAAAAAAAGAAAGAAAAAAAAAGGAATAAATAAAATATTACATTGATAAAATACAAAAAGATGAGGGAGCAAAATGGTAGGCATTATAGATGGACAGGTTAGGCAAAATTCTAATGATTTCAATGTAAGCCATTTAAAATTGAAAAACTACCTGGGAACTCAAGACACAAATGAAATGTAAATTCAAGTTTTGGGAAGACAAAGTGAGCTCCCATGGTAGGTAATCTTTCTAGAGTGTGCCCTGAAACAAGTTTCGCTAATAATGTAAAATCTCACTGTCTAGTATTGTGAAAAATATCCCTCAGCCCTTCAATCCGTTTGCTTTAATCTAGAAACGTTCAAGTATAAGGCTGTGAATTTTACTTACCTCAAGAATATCATCACATGCGGCTATTTGGTTATGTAAACTAACAATATTTTGACTCTCTTTGATGTAATCTTGTATGGATTTATTTTCAACTTCTTTCAGTTCTTTTTCTACTTGTCTTGAATACTGACGCAGATCAGTTCCATTCTGAAGAACCTCTTGAACCACAGAATCGTTCTCAAGATGTTCAATTTTACAGCTAGGCGCCTCGCTCTCAGTCCCCCCGACAGATTCCATTTTAATGGGTGATGTTGCTTCAGAGCCTGAAATTTACAAATGATAGGAGAGAAAATTTAGAATAACATTGGAACAGTGTTCTAGCTTCTAGACTAAAGTAGTCATTTGATATTAGGGAGCTTGAAAATTCAGCTGTGTCAGCCTCACTAGGTATTAATTTCGGATGTTTAAAGCCTAAAAGGAATTTGCGACAATTAAGCGAATAACTCAGTTTTTGTGAAAATGACGCTTGTAAAACTTTCTGGGAGGAGACAGTGCATTGCACTTACTTAAATTGATTGTCTCTTGAAAATCTTAGTGGGTCACACAGGCCACACTTGGCATTTTGAGCTTATTGTAGCAAACAGAACTAGTTTCTTGCGCCAAAAAGACTTGGACTGTATGCTGAAGACAAATTGAGGTGATTCGACGGTTGCCATTTTTTGTGTCAAAGCGACATGCGATATGTCGCATCAATTTGTTCCATAATTTCCGCTGCTTGTCATTTTCTTTGAATTTTGAAATCGCACTTCTGTTGTCATGAGAATGAAGAATTCATGTGCCAAATGAATCAAAGAAATTCAACATAATACCGGCACGGTTTTTTTAGAGGAAAAATATCGCATTCGATACTGATATCAGAACTGCACTCGAATGCAATATTTTTCCCCGGAAAAAACCCTGCCTTAATTACGTTGAATTTCTTTGTTGAATTTGGTACATGAATTTTTTAGTCTCATGACAACAGAAGTGCGATCTCAAAATTCGAAGAAAATGACAAGCAGCTGAAATTATGGAACAAATTGATGCGATACATCGCACGTCGCTCTGACACAAAAAATGGCAACTGTCGAATCACCTTAAAAGAATGCTATTCATTATCGAGATTTCTTAAATTTCCTTGCGAGGAACTACACAGCGCTGATAAAAGAATGTATCAGCAAGCACATCTACGATGAGCGATAGCAAATAAGTAGGTCTCGCGAAAGGAGATCTTGCAAAATAACCGGTTTGTCGCAGTTTAGCGTAGTTTGAATGAGTTGTAGAGACACCAAAGCAATGTGGATATTTACCTTTAGTTACCTTTAATGATGATTCATTTGCATGAGCAAGTAATGAAGATACCTAATGAAGTTTCAATCCGGATGTTTACTACCAAAATCTGTTTCAAAAATAGAATGATAATTGCCAAACCGATAATGCACTACAAGTCCGGGTGCTAACACCAACTTACTTCCTTAGAGTTGATCCTTATGAATAATTTGACAAACTGAAATGTATGATTGGATTTACAATAAATTAACTAACTTTCTGACAATTCTGATAACAACACAAAAAGTACATACACATATCAAGAACAACAACAATGACTATGGTGCATGCTGATAATGACCGACAGTGACGACATCTATACGCCATTTGATGCAACTTTTTGTAAACAAAAACATTTTTGATTATCATTGGTTTGCTCGGTTATAAATATAATTGGTTATAGTTAGTCATTGTTCGAATGTGTTCTTGTAATTGTAAATTGCCCGTAATTTGTTGCAATTTCGTTCGTAATTGTGTGTCTCACCATTTTCTCACCAAGTGCTAAATTTAGGAAAAAGGAGCTATAGATATATCGCGCCGAGTTTTATTTGACATCCCAATACTTCAAGTTTTTTCACTCAATTATTACAAAAAAATTTGTAAGTATCCATTCTCTTCTCAACAGTTTGGATTTAACTTTTCTCTTTAAGATGCGCAGCTTATACAATTTTTTAATTTCTCTCATTTAGAAGCTTGTGTGATTTGCATTTGAAATGGCGGAGCTAGATTGGTTCCAAGGCAAGCTTAGTTGTCTTTCTACAGACGAAAACGTTCTGGATAATCTCAGTGAAGTTAACATCGCCGCAGCCAATCTGAGACCTAACCAGCTCTCTGTCATCGCTTCCAATCTACCTTTAGGGTCTATCTTCGACTGCGTCAACTCCTCTGATTTGTGAGTATCGATCATGTACCATTTTTCACCCCTTAGAGCTCAGAAATTACTGTCAGGTCCATTAGAAGGGCTTTTTTTTATGCGGATCGCAAGGAACATCGGTATTTTTTTATTCCGTTCCTAAGCGTGATCCAAGCGTTCCAGGTGGATCAGAGTGGAACGCTGGATCCCTCTTCCGAGGTGGGGCGAGCTCGCGATCCACTGTGATCCTAACCTAATGCGAGGAAGTTGCCGTCCCCAAAAAACCAAAACAATAACAAATCGAACCAAATTCCAAGTCTGGATTTTTTTATCACTTTGAACACTTGGATCGGTCCGGATCGCTCAGGATTCCGATCCAGCGCGTTCCACTGCGATCCACCCTGATCCGCGATAAAAAAAAAGCCCTAGAGCCGCTAATTCTTTTCATAACAGCTGAACTGAACTTACTTAAGATCTACTGAAGATCATACTTAAACTTACTTACCGCTCAACAGCAAGAAAATCCAATTGCCATAATGCTTCATTTTTTTCAGTTAGAGTAGGTACTTAATAAAGTATCAAAGTTGACTCAAAAAATTGAATGATGAGTATTTATGAGTTTTCTTGCGAAACAGTATTTTGTCCGAAAAAAATTGAAAAAAGTTAAATGGAGACAGGTCATTTTTACTTTGAACGGTAGTATTCTAAGTATACCTTTTGCATGAGTGTGAACTTTCTGCCAAGATTGGAGAAAAAATGTATTTTCTGCAAATATTTTAGGAGCGTGCAGATTTTTGGTCTGTATTTTAATTTATAATGCTTGGCCAAAAAGCCTGTGCGATTGGTTTTAAGGATAACTTGAAGGTAGCCAAATATACTGACTATTTTTAGAATGGCGGACCACATTGCAGATCCGTCTACAATGCCAACTTAAGTACTGCAAATATTCCTAAAAAAGCAGATGTGCAGTATATTCTGTGTTACTGCTGAAGTACACAGTATAATTTGCAAAGATCTGTGATGTTTCTAAGATTCGTTAAAATCTGTATGCTATCTCAATATTAGTACCTGTTTTATATTGATTCACCTCGAACAAATGAATAATGTATTCATAATCTTACATAAAATTAATAAAGTAAATGAGTAGGCATAGTAATTTTATTAAATCATCATGGGTAATAACTACATTATCCATTTGATATCATCTTATTCCTTGCAATTACCTATATTCAATTGTCTTTTTTTTGTGGAGCAGAGATCAGATTAACGCAGCCTGCAGTGCACTCAAATTATTTTTATCTGCTTTGGAGCCAAGATTTGTTCTCTCTCAGTATGGAGTTCACCTGATGAGAGCCTTAAATCATCCAGAACCGAATGTTCAGCTGCTAACAATTGAGCAGGTATGCTGGGAGTGGTATTTGATCATTTACTCTCATTTCATTTAATCAGCTAAATTTTTCCCTCCAATGAGTTTTATCATGATGCCACTATCCCTTTTCTCGTTTACTACAAAAACTATCAATGTCGAAACTAGAGAAGCACCAATATTTTGAATAGCAGTGTTGCAGATCATGGTCACATTTTATTCTCCAAAGAAAAATTGCACATTTTCTCTTTTCAAGAGTAAAAAAGATTTTTGAAAATTTTGTGCTCAAACTTTAGTCGCTTCTCTTGAGAGTAAATAATTCAGTTGAAATATCCAGTGTCACTCACGTAATTTCAATTTTCAAGGTTGTTTTTCCCTAAGAAAATATTGGTTTTTTTTTTTTTTTTTTTTTTTTTTTTTTTTTTTTTGATAATCCCTTTTCCATTACTCATGGCGTTTGCTCATGTACATTTGCATTTTTTAATTTGATGCCCATTTAAATTTGGACACATTCTGAGCTGTTCTTTGCTTCTTTCATTGGTTAGTATTCTCTCTCTTTTCCTCCACAGACATCGGACAATAGTTTTAACTCAAAGAATAGCAGATTGAAAGTTTCTGCCAGATTTTGGTAGAAACTTTCCATTTTTTATCTTAATATGGGGAAAGGAATGTAATATTCCTCGAAATTATAGAAAATTTCTTTCCTGCGAGTTCGTTCTTTTTTTCTTTTAGGAAGAAAGGAATTATGATAGGACATATAAACCATGGGAAATACATATTACCTCAGATTGTGAGAATATACTTATCATCTCACACCTAAATGAAACGGTCAAAACCAAGATGTAACAGGAACTTTAAATGTACTGTTTTCAGTGCTGGGCTTAATGAAAGAAGAAACAGTATTGATTGTAAACACCAGCAAATCATTTGCTGATGATAAGCTGGTGTAATGGGTTCAAAATATGTCTGTATTTAAAATAGATAGTTCCAAAGCGCACCAAATTAATAATTTTACATTTTAATTCCTTTTGCAATCCTTTGTATGAAAAAATGTCCTATCTCTATATCAATAACCAAAGTGCGAACGACATATTTCCATTGCGGTGTTCTAAATTTCTGCCCCTATTTTATTGTTTCTTAGAGAAAGAAGTCAATTTCATAGCTTGAATTGTACACAGAATATTCTGCTAGCCGAAAAGAAAAATTAAGGATATTTCCAAGAAATTACAATGACCAGGTTTCCAAAGAAAAAATAAAGAACATATGACAGGAAGTTTGCAACGTCACTAATGGTGATACTTCTTTTTGCACTTTGGCCATCGACATTTGTGCTAAATTAAAAATCCCTCATAGAACAAGAGATTTTCTGTACTTTTATTTCAAGAAAATCCTTTCTATGTTCTTAAACTAGCACAAAATAATTTGAACTATCCAATCAGTCTCATCACAAATCATTTATATTCTTTGTTTGTTTTGTCGTGCAGTTAAACCGTAGTATCTCAGAGGTCGATCTTCTTTCATCCAATGATCTTGAGATCATAAAAGCTGTGATAAACTGCCTTGGCAAGGATTTGGTAGTAGCGCAACCTTGTATCAAATTTTTAATAACATTGAGCCACTCACCTGCCGGTTTAAGCGCACTTTTCTCACCACCAATTTTACGACTGCTTGAATCCACCATGGCAATCAGTAGCGTTGTGCAACTCAGGGTTTTTGAAGTAAGTTCGAATGTAATCATAGTAGTTTTACATTTGCCCCTTTTTTTAAACATTTTTAAAAATTATCGCACTATGATGTGAGATTTGATATGTGTAATTCTACGCTTGTCATCCATGCGACAGCAGCTGGAGAAGGTAAACATTCATTCTGTTTCTTTGGGTGATTCAACAATAGAGAGATGAAGAATAAATGTTGGTGATTGAAATCTAATGGGAAGTTACTTTAACAGTAGATTATGAAAGATGAAAATGCTGAGAAACTTAATTTAATTTGAGATTGTGCTTTTCTAATGTAACCTTTGCTCATGAAAAATAAAAAAATATGCACAGTTATTCTCAGAATTTCTCGCAATTTCTTTTGCCTTTCTAAAACAAATACTTTAAAATTTCATGTAAAAACAGTCATATTAGGTATCTTCTTTTTATGAATAAGAAAAATTAAATATGAAAATTATGAAATATTGTAATCATGATTTTGAACTTCTTCAATTACTGAAAGAGAAACTTTTTAAGTGTAACAGTAATTTTTACTTTCACGAGGGTCATTCAAAAAGTAACAACAAAGCATTTTCTTTCATTTTTAAGCGTCAAAATTACAATATAGGTATTCTGTGTATTTTTGGCAACGTTTAAATGGTCATGAGTGAACTTGTTCCAGCAAAATCATGAGGGTATGAGAGGTCAATTTCAAGACTAAGGGATAAAATTCTGCCCTTTGGGTGTAACAACATGATTTTTACGTCCAAGTCAAAACTTTAGGGGCACTATGCAACCAGAAGGGGTAAAAATTTCCTAAAAACTGTGTTCTTAGCTACACCTTAAGGTGTGGGAAATTGCTCGACTGCAAGGAGGGAAAACTGTGATTTCTCAAATTATGTTCCTCCCATTTCAAAAGCAATTGCATCATTTTAAACCTGATAATGTAATGAATTAATATGTGTGATTAAGATTTTTCTACAAAGCCGGAAAACAGAAAATGTGTCATTGTTTTTAGCTCGATAACCATTGTCGTTCTTTCGGGTGCAAGTTATAAAGCTATTCTCTCCCACAGGTAGTTGTTGGCATCAGTACCTTCTCTGCACCCAGTCTTCACGCATGCCATGCCTCTGGAGTGTTTTCTTCATTGTTTGATACGCTTAAAAATATGAAAGACAGCTTGGCAAGGTTTGCCTGTCTTGAGTTACTGACTAGTCTAGCTCTCACATATCATGGCCTCAAATTTCTGGAAGACGAAGGTATCTTGAAGTATCTGGCCGATCAGTTATCAGCTGTACTCGGAGAAGATGATACTGGTCTTAATTCGCTTTACGTCCCCTGTAAGTGCCTTTTTTTCTCTTTGCCACAATTAAAATGACATAACCCAAAATGAACATACAACAGTATTTTTCTTTAATTAACCACTTCCAAATGAATAATTCCCTTTAAAATGTTATGCAATTGAAAAAATAAAAGGGTCCATACTGCTGAAAGACGTAATTTTCAGCGGTTCAAACCATTGTATAGAGGAGAAAGTTAAGCACAAACTTATCGGCTTAAAAAACATTCGAAAATTTTAGACAAAGGCAGAGTTATGGGAGTTTAAAGTTTGCTGTAAATATTTTAGTTTTGGGGAGGAAAAACAGAGTTAAGTGGGTATGCTGTGTTGCAAGTTCGACATTGCTGGATGAAATTGTACTTTAACACCCTCCATTGTCACAATCACAATGAAGTGAATCACAATTCATTCCCCAAGACATTAGAGAGTTTTTTTTTGTTGTTAAAAACGCAAGTATCTATGTTTTGACTTAATTTTACAAAAATGAATTTCCTGAGGAAACTGCCACCATTAACCAAGGTCCTTTTCTATGGGTGATCACAGACGACCTCATGTTGTGCTCTGCTTTGTTTTAGGCCTCAGACTTTTCCATCCAGTGTCCTCCTAATCATTATTTTATTATTTTAAATTTTCTAGCAGTTTAACTGCTCATTAAAAAAAAAAAAGGTTTATATTTAGAACAGCGGTCAACATTTTCCGACTGCAATTTGAGCAATGAAAGTATGATACAAGAAAAACTTATCATTCCCATGTCAAACTGAATGATTATAGTTGTATACAAATGGACAAGTCTAAAAATTTAATTTGTATGTCTGTAACAAACAATCAGATGAAATTTTTTGCCCATCATCACATTCTGAGGTATCAATGCTAAAGGAGTCTACATGTGTGATATGGTTTTCCTGTACAAAAAGTCTTCTTTTTTTGCATGACTACATCCATCTAATAACCAATGTATGATACAATAGATGTTTCCTTAATTCTGGCTTGTTGCGGAAAAACTGCTCAAGTGAAGAAAGTACTGTGCAATGGAATAAAAAATTACCTATGCTGAGATCTCGATTAAGTTTTCATATCTGCCTTCCATTTAAAGTTTCAGTTTTGAAAAAAAGTTCTGACGTGTTACAGGTTACATCAAATTCTTTGGAAATGTAGCCCAGTTACAACCAGAGTACATCTTCTCCAAGTATCCTAATATTATTGACAAAATCTTTGAAGCAGTGGATTCACCTGACCGAGACACTGTTTGTAAAGCCTTGGAGACTGTCAGTTACATTGCCACAACGACACGTGGCAAGCAACTTTTGAGCACATATGGTAAAAATATTTTGCTTTGTCTACTATCAAAACGTAAATTTTTCTAGAACGACCAAAACATTCAAGAATGTAATATTGATTATCTCAGCAGGAAATGTTTGGAAACGATAATTTCAAGAAATTGTTTTGAAAGATTTCAATTTTCAATACATTTCACTAATCGAATAGTTTCTCACCATTTAATTGAATGCACCAAAGATATCGGCGGTGTAAGTCAGCAATCACATAACTTCGCTTGCAACGTCGCAGACTTCCTATCATACTTTATTTTTTAAACGGAAAACCACTCAACGGCAATTCTTTAAAACTGCCGTGATTTTCCTTCTCTGTGCAAAGAAAATTCTGCAAAAACCTCAAGGAATGATGTCAATTTGTTCTTCTTTAAAAAAATAACATAGAGGTGGGGATTTTCTGACACCGCAAATGAGTTACGTGATTGCCGATTTACACTGTTGATATGTCCCTTAAGTTTTAAAAAAATATTTAAAACTCAGGGAACAAATATCAAGCTTTCCAAATTTGTCAGCCTTTTGTAGTTTGCTCTATGATTAAGAGACTATTAGATCAATACTCAGTCAGCTGATCTATTCTTTATCATCTCATGGGAGCAACATCTAGGTCTGGTGTTTAAGGAGAGATGGAGTAAGCATAATTATTTGTAGAAACTCGTTTAAGGAAAAGGAGAAAATTAAGAGGAAGAAATAAAACTGTCTCTCGGAATTGTTGCTTTGAGCCCCTCCACTATGTACAAAATTATCAAATTTTTTGGTCTTCTATTTTACAGATAATAAAATGACCATCACCATCGAACAAATTGGAAGCTATTTGAAGGGGATGCCGATGGAGTACAAAGTCACAGCCATGAATGCTCTTGCAAATATGTTTAAATTAGATGTAAGTATTTGTAATTTATTTTGTAATAGTCAAAGCTCTGCGACAAGAAACTTGATTCATAGGACATGAAAAAAATTGAATTTTTGTCTTAGGTTGACCTAGTCTGATAATAAGACTGTGAAATGATAATTATTTTTGTCCTCAAGCTATGATCTCAAAACTCCAGAAAACTTTTTTTTTCCAATTCAAGGTTCCTGACTCCAGTTCAAAAGTAGTTTGTGATATGGGGTCATGCCAGGTGCTGGCACCCGACAGCACTCCTGAACTCTAAGCCTTGCAAATCTTCATTTTGCGGAACGCATTTTTATTTATCATGAATAATAATGCTGCTCAGATTATCTGTACAAATGCTAAGAATCTGAAACAAAGTCTATAGTAACTTTTGTAGGGGATAGTCACAAGACAATTTTTGTAAAAAAAATGATAAAAGTCGCGTACTCACTTGCGGGCTGATGATGACCCCAAAATGCGTCCTGATTAAATCAATTTAGCGCGCAAGTGAGCTCACAATTTTTACCAAAGTCTATAGTGTCCTCATTTTTGATGTCTTCCTTTTACAGATTACTGACCTCACAGATGACTTGTTATCCATTACCAAATCATGGTTTTATAAATTAGGTGAAGATCCAATGCAAAATATCATGAGTATTTGCCGTCAACCATTTGTCGAAACAAGGTGCGCTGGTCTCCTTGTTCTCAAGTCATTAGCCATACTACCCTGGGGATTGGAAGAGTTTGTGCGGTATCCAGGTAATTTTTCAACGAGAAACAAGGCAAATTTTTCAAGAAAGCAAAGGTTATAAAGTTTGGTCAAAAGATTGATCTTTGACTTATCAACAGAGAACATCCTCCAGTATCTGTAAGAAAAAGTTGTGAGCATTTTCGTTAATACTTGTGCTGAAAGGGAGTGTAAAATTAACGTTTGATCCAATGATTTTGGATTAAAGTTTTGAATTACTTCTCCTCAAAACTAAAACAACTCCCTCTACAACTTTTTCCTTAGCTGAAAATTTCAAACGATCACAACCTCCGCTTAGCTCCACAGTTTTTATATTTTCTGTTGTTTGTAAAATACCCTTTCATGAAATGGCACCGATGTTTTAAATTTTTGGTTGTAATAGTGTTCTTATTAAAATAAATTTTGGAAAAAATTCTTTAGAGTTCAAATAGTCCAAAATTTCAAGAAAAAGCCATTATTTTGAGGGTTTAGGAAAAAGACTTAAGAAAAGTATGAAGTTCTGGAAAAGAGTGGGTAAAAAGCTAAAATAAAGGGAATATATCAGAAAAAGCAAACGTTCTGGCTAATTCTAAAAGTTCTGAAAAGAAAGATGTTGTGAAGGGTCAAAATTTCTCTTATCCTGGATTTCTGTAACTCCTGCATTTTTTGACAGAAAAAGGTCTTTATTTAACAAGTATAATTTATTTTAATCAGTCATCTAATCTCTTCAGATAGTTAAATTGCCTCAGGCATGAGTCTGCAAGTTGCAAATGCCCATTTCTCATGGTTTTATGTTTTGTATGGATGTTCCTCTATAAGGCAAGCTAGTACCATGCTTCAATTTGGATATGTTTTTTGTATTAGGTATAGTGGAAGTCAATCAATTAAAAAATTATCCTGAAAGTCCCTTGCGTCTTGGTATAAAACAACTTTAAACCAAGAAAAACTTTGATGAACGGCCTTTTTGTCTTTCAAATCCACTTTTTCAGTAATATCACCAAAGCAATTTGATCAATGGCTAAGACAAATCATTTCCATAAAATATAGACCCCCCTCTCCCCTCCTTCACTGTCAAAAACTTCTGAAGCTACAGAAATTTCTTCAACAAAATTAACATTCACTCACTCACATAGGTTTAAATTAATGTTCGGACTTTACATCGCTCTAATGCTATTCCAGTGTCGCTGATGATGGTTGCTCAACACAGTCCAAACGCAATTAATTTAATGTAATTATTAACCAACAAATTTAAATTGGTGAAAGTGAATAAAAGTTAATTTTGTTGATCAATTAGAGTACATTATGTGACTAGGAGGTACAATTTCTGGCTTAGTTTAGAAACAATGTATCTACCATTAGTTTCCCTTTGCACGTAAGTGTCTTTACAGATGAGCCAGAAATTGTACCTCTGAATTGCAAAATGCAGTCCAATTGTTTTTTGTGCGGTCCCCATTCCTTGTTTTTTGAGACCTTGTCTTCTGAACTTATTCTAGGAAATTGGAACATTAAATACACAAGTCTCTTTTCCTAGGGATGATCAAATTTTATACTTTTCATTTTTTAAAAGTATTGTGAACTTTTTGAATTTAAGAGTGTTTTTTTAATTTTTATTGTATTCTTTTAAAAGGTCTCCTAGAATTTCTCTTGGACCGATCAAGCGACACAACGATGCAGTGCAAGGACGCCAAGTACCAGGTCATCAAACAGATCATCGAAGCTCCTAAAGCCAAAGAGATATTGCCTGGTCCAATGTATGTGCGAATGCGAGAGTATGTTAGACAAGGGCTTGTCCACGTTCCCGTTCAGATGGAAGTTGCTGTTGATGGCATGTAATTATCTGCCCACTCAGAAATCTCAAGTGAGTACACCTTCTGAATGGTCCCGATTCCAAAGAGTCTGGACATAGCTCTGGTTTTTTGAGGGCGGTCCAGAAGTACTGAATAAGCAAGGAAGGTCCACTCAAAGGTCCAGAATTTTTTCCTTTATATCATGCGTGTTTTTAAGGACAGCCTGGAAAACATGGAATCCCTCTTGCATTTGCGCGTGCAGAATTTGCCGTCTTTGTAGTCATTTTTCAGCCATGTCGTCTTCAGACCACCAATGAGCCTCGACTTTTGTGGCCACGCCATTTTTTCTTGACTTCAAAATTTTCCAATTTTATCATATGAAGGTACTGAAAAAATTTTCCGCTGAAGAGGCACTGAATTTTTTGCAAAGACATTACATCATATAGACCGTGCATCCTGTGTTATGGAAGGCGAGACAAGTTTGAAAAATTTGCATGCCGATGAGTGTTTGCACCGACCCGCATCGATGAGTTCGTTTGTTCCAATTGCGCACATCTGCGCATGTGCAGTAGCGGCTCCAGTGACTTTTTGTCGGATTGTGAGGCTTCTTTTCTCGGTTAATAATTAGTTCAAAAAAATAAAACATTGCTATTCGGTTGTAAAATTATATGTTCTAAAACTTTTCTTCTTAAGAATTTTGTCTGAAAATGGACTCTAAACTAGATATTCATGAAAAACTGAGCGCGCAAATGAATTCTCCATTGCCTCTCTGCAGTCTCTTTGAGTGCTCGGGACACAGGCTCTCTCCCTTTCTCCGCCCGCTCATCATGGGGCTCCGAGAGACTTGTCTCGCTCTGCCTGTACTAAACCGAGCCAGACGCACGGTCTACGTGATTCAATGTCTTTAATTTTTTGGGAATGTACTGAAAAAGCATCATAAAAGAACTGCTTCCTACCAATTGCTTTCAATAGACACTCCACCCTAATAGTATTACGAACAATCTTCACCATTGAGCTCGGTCTCCTCAAGACGGATGAAGGCTTCCTGCGCGGGCGGAGAATCGAGTATACGAGTTAAATGATTATTCCCGCGTAAAATTTAAATGCCTTCTTTTTGGCTGAGGTCAACTTCTGAGATCACCTAAAGCGCTAAAAACCAAAGAGTTTTCCTTGTAAAAAAGCGTTCTTACTAGGTACCGTCTTCTGAGAAAGATGCATTTGAAGTTTCGATTTCAATATCTTGATGTGTTACCAGTAGTGGTGCAAGTCGAGACCATCTTTTTTTATCAACATAAATTAGATAAAAAATCGACTGAAGTTTGATGCATACTGAATGCGGCTCTCTCAACACGAGAAAAAATGAGCCCTCTTCAGGCACCCTTCAACCGGCAATCTAGTTTAATTTCTTAAAAAGAACCTCGGACCTGTGTGATTTATGTAAACCTTAGAAGGTCATTTTTGTGGAGGAAAACTCTCTCATGTTCTAAGAAATGAATTACAAGTTGCTCGATTTATTTTTGTGCCCATAGAAGGCATTAAATTCCATGTAATACAGCAATTTTGTACACAAAGCATGGTTCTTAAACATTTTAAATGGCTTATTTTTTAAATTACGTTTTCTGAACTGCAAATATTAAGCTGTCATTACTTTGGTCGGGTTTGATCAAGAATGTTGTGGTTTTTATCCTAAAATGTTTGTAGAATGCTCCTGTATTCTTTAGCAATAACTAATTAATTTTGAATTTTTTTAGAGAAAACCCCCTTACTTTAGACGGTTTATAAGCTGATTTTCATTTACTTGCCTGATTTGACATAACTTACCCATGGAGTAAAAGAAGTATGTTTTGTTTTTTTTTCAGGTGACAAAATCCTCTTAAGTTGGGTGCAGGGTTGTAGATCTAGGCTAGCGGATTTTTTATGGTCTTGATATTCAGCGGAGACAATTGTGTGACTGAAGACTTCAGTTGCTACAATTGAGATTTTACGAACGAATGGTTGTTGCTATCTAACAGTATTGGTCAGAACTATCAACACTTTGTTTGGATGAATGTTATCTTGTATACTGATATTTACTGGAGGTTTTAATGAATGGAACAAGTTAAAACTAAAATTTCTGAATTTTCCTTGCAAAATATCCACTTATAATTCAAATGAATTACCAGTGCCTCCATTCATGAGGTAAGACTATTGTGATCCTTCTACTTTTTTGTTTCTAATTTGAATTTTGCATCCATCTCTTTTAAAGATTATTTGCTGTAAGTAGCTCCTAAATCGGACGTATGTCTGCCAAAAGGAACTGTGAATTATGACGTAAGACTTGTTATACATATATTCTTATGGGTCTCAGGGCTCATTTCTAAATGCAGATAGTTTCATTTGGTAGAAATACGTCCAATTCTGCCGTCCCAGGGAAAAATGCTGCACAAGCATTCAAGTGTTGCCAAATTTACTCTCAGAAAAAACCTATTTTTAAGCAAGCTGTAAATAATTTTCATTGAAACCTCAAGACACTTAAGATAAAATTATGAATACAATTCTCTGGAAATTCGTGATTTGTGGAAGGAAGTTTAGCAACGTCTAAATGCTCATACGGTGTTTTTCATTAACCTGGCAGCATTATACACTGGCACTCTGCAACAACTACACGCAGCATGCAACCGTCTTTGAGGTCTCTGAATTTCTTGGTTTCCGCCTTGCCATTGGTCCTCCTCTGGACATCCGTGATTGATCATTATTTCTTTAAATGAAAAGTTCAAAGAATTCTTTTATAAATGCTTTCATGAGCGGATTTTTAAGCTAATGCTCGTTTTTCATGCTGGATTCCAAATAATTATGTTTATGTGATCCTTTTTACCAAAAAAAGAGAAAAAGGCCACTGATTGGAATTCAATAACTGCTACTTTTGTGTCAATTAGATGATAAGGTATTTCTGTGATTTTTTCAATACCTATTCTTGTGTTGTTTTTTTCTCTTTCTAATACATGGAACATTTTTTACTCCACCGCAGCAAGAATTTTATCCAAAAATCATTTAGTACAATGACTTCTCTGTCCTATAAGCACGTTCTATTTTGATTAGCCATCATTTTCCAACCAGAGCCTGATCAAGCCCCAGCTAATACCTAACAGGTATCTCCTTCGAGATTGTCTAAAATATTAGGTGCATTACTTGTTCCCTAATCAAATTTTGCGTAAAAATGTCTTAAAGAAAGCCAACAAGACAAATGTCGTGGCTGTTGTGAGAGGAATGGAGTTATCTCAGATTTAAAAATACTACTTTTTGAAAATGTTTATTAAAACGGAAATAAAAAACATAAATCTTATTCAATGCATGGTTTAAAAAAGAAAACAAAACAAAGTAATAACAATATAAACAAGCTTTTGACATTCAATATCAGAGACGATTATTAAAATAAAGATAGAGTAAAAAAAATAATATTTAAATCTATGACGATGGCAGATAATTACACATGTGTTCAACAATATAATTCAATTTTATACAAAAAATATAAAAAATCATGCATGTGTTGATTTAATGCGACTATGTACTTAATGTGATGAAAGTTTTTTTTTTTTTTTTTGGTGCTCAAACTTTAAAGACTTCTGCATTTTTCCTCACTTGCCTATTTGTCCAGTAGACAAGGAGAAGACTCATCAAGAGTAAATACAAAGAATTAAGCAAAATGGACCGGGCTAGTCGAAAAGATTTAAGTCAAAGCATTTCTGTATTCTCTCCAAAAATAAACTTAAGAAACAAACACACATTGGAAAATTTGACGTAAACTCCTAAACCAGATTTACTAATGATGCTCGCTGGTACGGGGTTGCTCAATGATCACTTGGCAGGGTCGATCAGGGGAGCAAGGATTTTGTTGTGTAGTGCAAAAGTTGGTGCAAAGCATCAATTTTTCTGGAATCACCAGTCATAAAAAAGACCAACTTTCATCCCCAATTTTTCCAAAACCTCAGATTTCTTGCGCTGACCAGATTATGAAATCAACTGTGATGCGTTTTTCAAGGGATAGATCTCATATGTACACGATGGATGTATTAAAGAGGAGAAGAAAAGTGGAAATAGTGTATTACCTTTCGGAAAATACTATAAGCCAAATTATTTTTAATAATATCCATGATCAAGAGACCCCGTACCAGATAAAATGTACAATGACAAAAATCCAATCATAAGGACAGACTGCCATTGTTTTTTATTCATCAAGCGTCATTTTCAACTTCCAGTAATAACTGGCATAAGAGTTTATTCCTAAAAATTCATTATAAGGACTGCTCTCTGTACATTAATGATACAATTATTTACATGATTAATAATGAAGCTAGAAAAAAAATTTGCGAGGGAAAAAACCGTTGAAGAAATGTACAGCGAAATGTCTTCAATTAAACCTCAATTGCTGAGTCATGCTTTGTAGCAATCCAAATAAGTGAATATATGATCAGGTTTGGAGATAAGACTGGAGGAGCGATAATCTCTCTCCCTCCCCCATTGCCTAACTGAGGAGCATTAGGGGCAGAGAGGGTAGAAGAAAGGGTAAACCACACAAGGGTAACCAGAAACTGAGATATTCCACCTCCCTCCATCCATCTTGATGGATGATTAGCTCTTTAAAGTTTGAACAACATTACATTTTTCATAATAATTACAACAATGCATAAAAACATCAATTTACATTAGCAATTACCTATTATATTAATTAACATCTCAATATTTTCGAACAAATTAAGCATCAGCTCAATTTTATAATTATTTCCTACCTAAAGATTGTGTCATTATACCATTAACGCAATACAAAATAGTATGGCTTTTTTAATATTTTATTTTGTTTCACTTTTTCAGTAGGTAGGTACCTAACTTTACATTTTTTGAAATGATGTAAAAAATTTTCATATTGAGCCATTACTTAAGCTCGCTAAGAATACACTTGGCTGTGTTACCTGCACTTGTCTCGTCCACTTATTTACATCAGAAAATATACAGGGCTTAAATTGGTAAAGTGCAGGATTTATATGAGCGAACAAAAAAATTGTTCTCTAAATCTTAATGAGAGTAGTTTCAAGTACTCTAGAAGGGAAAGTACCTACCCTCAATATACCTTCTTTGAAGGTAGAGTGGGTCCCTGTGGTAATCCACCAATCCAAAACCTTAATATATTGAGCAGCTTTATGATATTAATCAATTAATCATTAATTAATTTTAGTATTTTCAAATAGGTTGATTCTTTGTAATAAAGTCAGAATTCAGCACGCAACAGCCGATGCAAATCATTAACTCAGAATATTGCATTAGACAATGGTAAACAGACTCCTAGACAGGATCTGAATTTAAACTATCTCTATAATAAAATTCCCTATAAAATGAAACGTAGAAAATGATTTGCGTAGTGAATAGTTCTCAGATTGACATATGAGTGATATTCTAACATTTTTATTCTGGTTATTAATGCTTCCGAAAAATTTGATTGTCTTGCTTGCAAGGTAAACCAAAATCTATGCTGGTCAGTGAGCGAATTTTTGAGTTTCATTATTTTACACTTTTTTTAATGAAATTCTGCTCGTACTATCTCTGCAAACAAAAAACTCACAACTCGAAGGTGATAAGGTTATTCGCTACTCTTTGGTCAATAATCACAGCAATTCAAATTAGGATGTCAATTTAAAGATCGGGAATACCTTACCAAATGTTGCTGATGGTGTGGATTAGAACTTTTCTCAGAGGGAATTTCGTTTTGAGTTTACACTGATTGGTATTGTCGATTATATTCTTTCATGAAAATTTGCCTTAAAAAGTGATTGCAAACAATCTTACATGGCAAATCACATGCGTCATGTTTTACAAAACTTTCCTTCCCTCTTTCATGCCACATACCTACTTCTGGTTTTTCATAAGAAGATTAGAGTACTGGAAAACCTACTGGCTGAAGAACTTGCCAACATTTGTTTTTTTGCATCATTTGACTCGCACAGATAAAGTGATCAATGAATGAGCGAGATGTTTGAATTTATGGACACCAAAATCGCTACATAATACTTTTCCTCCAAGTTTATATAAAAAATTTCCTTTCCATAAATGGTTCTCTTTGCTAAATTTTGAAGAGAAATCGTCATAGGGCATACTTACAGCCGAAATTTAGAACCTGTAGGTACAGTAAAATCTTGATAAAATCATTATAGAGATACTCTCTGATTACTTAAGATATCAGGATGAGTTCTGCAGTGAGCAAGTATTTGAAAATTGAGATAAAAAAACCAATCTTTGATATTATTGCTCCGCTTCCTGAAGGTTAAAAGAGTTATTTAGGCAAACATACACTTCATCCCTCCTTATCTTGGGGGACAAAGTATTTGAGAGGCGAACAATTTTAATTTTAAATTCCTTCCGTGAGTATAGGCGCAGACTTTCCATTTGCGACTAGATTTGCGATCGATAGTACATACCAAGGAAAAGGCCATTTTCATTTGTTTGTTGGTTTTTTTTTTCACGGAAGGTTTTTTTGGTGTAGGCAGTGCAGGCAGGCAATATAACTAGTGCAAAATACAAGTGCAGTCCTGAAGCCTCGGAAAGTACTTCCATAGGAATATTGTCATAATAACTTGCAACGAAAAATCCTTCAATTGAGAGGTATGTAATTTCAGGCTCATGTCATTACAAATAATTACCGTACGTGAAGCAGGAATATGTTATCGTTTTTCCTCTTTTATGACTGAATACTTAGAAGGGTTGCTGCATTTAAAGATGAGATTCGAACTAACAATAAGTGCCTCAAAGTCAGTGCATCCGATGGCAATTCTTTGTGTTCTCCCAATTTTGATCCCCAAACAATCACTTATAAGGAAGGTTTTAGGTAGGACTGATTTTTTTTCCTCATCAATCCGGGAGTTGCTTTCTTCATTTTGACGTAAAATCATAGGTAAGTATCATTAAATCCAAAGCACTTTGTTGATATAGTTCACATGCATATTTTCTCCCTCCAAAAAATCAAAAAATGTACAACTCAATTAACTAAAGCCAAAATTATAAGTAGGGCTAATCTCATTTTTTTATCTTTTGCTACTCTTTTCAATTACCATTTAAGTTTTTTTTTTCTTGAGAACTAGATTGTCTTTTGATCAAAGAAATGTACTAATTAGGCATTTTAACATGGAAATTGGGTAGTTTAAGTTGGATTGTTACAGATGACTTTGATTGAAGTATCGGCAATGGATTGTGGTTTTTGTAATAGAAAATCAGCTTTCTCGAAGAAATTTGACCAGATCAGTAGGGAAAATCTGGAAAATTTCAACCAGAATATATTCTCGAGAGTGACATGTACCTAAGTAACTGATTTAAAAAAAGATTTAATTTAAATTATAGGATAAGACTTTGAGCCTCATTAGCTGTTCAACATTTCTTACATGTCATACTTAAGTACCTAATACAATGCGTTACTTTCTCGACAGAATGAGTTTTTTTTCTTTTTTTTTTCTCAGCATGACGAGAAACTGCCGAGAAATCGGTTATCTCTGCTGTATTAAATCCGATTTTTCGAAGTATAATCTGGTAATGATGCAAATATTTTCACCAAAATACTTATATAGAGAGAATATATCTATGTCCTGGCCACTCTCTGATTGGCTCTCGATTTCAAGGCCTTTCATGGGGCTAGGGTTCCATGTGAATAAACCAGCCCCGAAGGAATTTGTATTTTCGAAAGATATAAATGGCACCTGCAGGAAAAACGCACGGTCGAAGGCCATGAAAGCTCTCATAGACCATGGGGAAAGTATAAGGTTTGGTGGAAATATCCGTCTAATTAAGTGTCTCTAGTAGGCAGTCATCTTAGAAGTTGGAAATTACACATTATTAACCACGTCAAGATTCCTGTCACCGTGCTTTTTATTTATCTGCATTCCACCTTTAGGGCACCCTGAGAACCCAAAACTCCTAGAATTATCAGAGAGTGGCTCAGTTTTTTCTCTGTTTAAAGAATTGAGATGGCAATGCTGCCGCGCTAAGGAAAAATGCCGTATGAACATTGAAAAGTTGCCAAATTCCCCCTGATAAAAAATTATTTTGAAAGTAAGTCATGCATATTTTGCCTTGAAATTTTCAGATATTGTAGATTAAATTGCGACCAAAATGTTCCGAAAAAATGGGGGAAAACTTCATAACGGAGAGGTATAGATAAGAGCCGTTTTTAGGCCCACCCTAGCTAAAATTCCTCAACTCTACGCTGGTTTAATTGCTCATTGACGAAGGTCTATGTTTTTGGTATGCATCATGATTTGGTCATTTCTGGTCTCCTTTCGGGTCTAACGCTGGTCTGAAATGAGTCTGGGGGCCGATTTTGACAAAAAATACACATTTTTCAGCATTCGCAAGCAAACTCAAATTTTTCGCCAAAATTGGCCTTCAGGCCCATGTTTAGGCCAGTATTAGACCCTAAATGAGACAGACCGAAAATGACCAAATCATGATGCATCCTGTAATATAAAGACGTTCAAGTATGAGCGAAAAATTTCATGTACAGGGTTATTCATAAGTCACGCACCACTGGCCATGAGGGGGGTGGCCATTTGATATTCTTGAGTTTCCCCTCGCCCCCCTCTCCCGAGGGGATCAAAAACTGGAAAAGTACATAAAAAAGTTTCCCCCTCAATATGAGGAAAAACTTTTTGAACCGCAAGTGGATATCATAACTAGAACTTAAAGTTATGGCCAGTGGTGCGTGACTTTTGAATAACCCTGTAGTTAAGGACATTGAGAGTGGGTCCAAAAACGATCCTCATCGATACCACTAATCAATTCGTATTTCATCAAAAGAAATTCGGCAACACCCTAAGGTTGATGCGGCGTTTTTCTTGAGGGCGGGAGAATACTTTCGCTTTACACGCAGGTACTCTTATTCTCACCGCTAGGCCAATATTGTCTCGGGGGTAACAAATCTCTAGGTACTAAAAAAGCTTTCATCAAAAATATCAGTTCGTGAGTCGAGTTTCGCTTCGGATTCTCACTAATAAATGCGGGGCGAGGTCGGGCCCGTGGAGGCTCTGCGCGCCCTCTGGCGGAGAGACGGGGCGGCACTCGCTTGAGTCGGAGGAGCGTGCTACAGCGAGCTGGAAACGGATTTCGTCATGTGCTCGCCTTCGCTCCTGTGTCAGAGCGGCCCTCGCTCCGCCCCCTCCAGCTCCTCCGTCTCCGATCTCCGCATCCTCTCCACTCGGTTGCTGATCGAGCCGTCGCTGAAACACATCCAAAACACAAGAGTCACTTACGTCCCTTTTCCAAACAAATCCATCACTCCACAAGAGGCTAGAGTCCCTTTATAGGGAGAGTTTAAGACAACGCGGCTAACGGAGAAAAAAACTTCGTGCATGGGACCCGAGGTCAAGGTCATATGGATCGCTGAAGTTTTCTCATCACGCATCCGAAAACTTGAGGTCGAGCTGCCCAAGTTCGGGTCAGACATCGAGGCACTTGGGTATGTACCGGAGTGCTTCAGATGTGTGACCTGAACCCTTCGGTATATATCGAAGTACTTCAGATGTCTGACCCGAACTTCGGCAGCTGGACCTCAAGTTTTTAGATACATGATCCGAAAACTTCAGAGATCCATATGACCTCAACTTCGGATCCCCCGCACGAAGTTTTTTTCTCCGTGGCATGGATCTCACAAACGGGAATACAGATTACACAAATCACACGTTAACTGTATATTCTACACAATATTCAACATGGCCGACACCAATCCGCCAAAACACATGTACCTGGACGAAATTCTAACCATATTTTAAAACCCAGCGTGTTTACATTCACGATTTCTTCGCGTTGATAAAGATCCGCTTTTGTCAGGCCCGGACTTAGGGCGTGCGGCGCACACGGGCGCCAGCCTTTGGGGGGCGCCACGAAAGAAGAAGAGAGGGAAAAAAGGGGGGAAAAGGAAAAGGAAAAAAGGGAAGAAAGGACAAGGGGAAAAAAAGAGAAGGAAACAAGGTTGGGCAGTGAAAGCAAGGAAGAAGGGAGGAAATGGAAGGAAAAAGGAGGCATGAAAAGTGAAAAGAGAGTCCGCGAGAAAGGGGGGGAGGCATAAAAACCATAGACAAAATATAAAGAGAATTGCCGTCTAAAGGTAAATTTTCAGGACAAAAACTTCACCTGGTCCATAGACGGTCAGGCGCCCCTTGACCCTAAATTTGCGACTGTACAGAAATACAAGAGTATGCATGTAGTAAGGGGGCGCCATAAAACCATCGAACAGGAACCGACATAGTATTTTAGGCCACGTCTGCCATCTTGGATTTGAGAATTTTTAAACATAGTAAAAAATCGAGTTTCCGGTCAAAAAATACCCTCAGACACCGAGTTTCAAAAAAATCCATCGAACAGGAGCCGACATAGCGTTTTAGGCCACGTCCGCCATCTTGGATTTGAGAATTTTCAAGAATCGACTAAAAATTCGAGTTTCCCGTCGAAAAGTACCCCTGATCCCGCGGTTCACAAAGCTCTAACGAACAGAAACGGAGGCCAGAACCGGGGCTCATTTTAGGCTACATCCAACATTTTGGAGTTGAGAATTTTAAAAAATTGACTAAAAATTCGAGTTTTCCGTTGAAAAATACCGTGCGATACCGCGTTTTACAAGACTCGAACAAACAGAAACCGAGATAGCATTTAAGCTCACGTCCGCCATCTTTAATTTGAGAATTTTAAAGAATGGACTAAAAATTCGAGTTTCCCGTCGAAATATACCTCCTGACATCGAATTTCAGAAAAATCCATCGAACAGGGGCCGAGATAGCATTTTAAGCCATTTCGGATTTTCGAATTTTGAATTTTTTGAATTTTGACAGATTTTGATTTAAAACGCGTGATCCCCAAAATCGAAGCTCAGATTCGGATTCCTCGTAAAAAATCGATGCGATTTCATGTATCATACCCTGACACCGAATTTCAGAAGAATCCACCAAACAGGAGCCGAGATGGCATTTTAAGCCACTTCAGTCATTTCGGATTTTTAAAGTTGAAAAATTTTACTTAAAACGCGTAATACCCAAAATCGAAGTTCAGATTCGGATTCCTCGTAAAAAAATCGATGCGATTTCATGTATCATACCCTGACACCGAATTTCAGGAAATTTCCATCGAACAGGAGCCGAGATGGCATTTTAAGCCACGTCAGTCATTTCAGATTTTCGAATTTGGAAAATTTGACTTAAAACGCGTGATACCCAAAATCGAAGTTCAGATTCGGATTCCTCGTTAAAAATAGATACAATTTCATGTATCATACCCGAGCATAGCGTGAAGGAAAGAGACGTAACGTAGGCATACTGATTCGAGCATATAAATGCAACGTGGCAACATGGGTAGTGCTCAGTGGGTCAGCGGAGGAGGAAGAATAAGAATTTATCTTGAGGAATTCCTCGCGACGAAACCGAACGCTTAAGCCGGCGCTAACGGCGCCTCCCCGTTCGGTTGCATCTCGGGCGACCGGCGCGCGGCGGCGTAGTTCAAAGAGAATCTATACGCGTCGTTAAACCTTTTTCCTTCACGCTATTATAACATATGATACATGAAATCTCATCAATTTTTTACGAGGAATCCGAATCTGAGCTTAGATTTTGGATATTACGCGTTTTAATCTATTTAAAATCGTAAGAGAATTTACAGAATTGTCCTTGAAAATTGATCACACATTAGTGTTTTTTTACGTCATTAAACCTCTTTCCTTCACGCTATTCTAACATATGATGCATAAAATCTCATCAATTTTTCACGAGGAATCCGAATCTGAGCTTAGATTTTGGATATTATGCGTTTTAATATATTTAAAATCGTAGGAGAAATTATAGTCTGTCCCAGATACGAAGAGCCCTGGAAAATCGGAATAATTTGCACGATGTAGAAGCAAGGTATCGTTCGTTCTATTGATACCCGTCTAATGACCGAGCCAACCCCGCACCTCACAGAGGGCTGCTTACGAGCTCCGCGGCGCGGCGGCGCCTTGCGTCGGGAATCCGCTCCTGGGTCCCGGGGAAAACCGGCCTCGTGCATCGCCTATCCTGGTCTGGAGATGCGGAAGGGAGTATGCGTTGCCTCAAGGTGGCTTGCGACCCTCTGTGCGACGCATGTGAGAGGCGACCAGATGACAGGTGACGAGGGTCCAGGCACCCCAACCCGCCAAATAGTGCTAATTACTCTCATTTTCCAGGGCTCTTCGTATCTGGGACAGACTATACAGAATTGTCCTTGAAAATTGATCACGCATTAGTGATTTTTCACTCCGTTTTTCTTCTACGTTCACGTAATGAAATTAGATCAACAGTTGACTCATCGACTAGTCTAGCATAAGCCCCCAGAATCGGTCGAAAGGGCGAACGATTTTATCAGATAAGATATGCGGTCCTAGTTTCCGGGCAATTGCGGTTTGATGGAAGCTGCGATGAGGAGAAACGGAAGATACCTATGCGAAACTCGGACGGATATTATGTGAGAAACCAGTTAGGGGAAAGGCTTTCTTCCCGAAAAGTTAGTGCTCGGGCAAACTTACATGGTCACTCGAGCATTGTATAGCAGGTTGTGGGAAACTATTTTTTGCAGCAACAACCAATTGGATCGCATTTTGCAAAAAGGAACTAAGAGCATTTCAATGTCGCTGGGATTGTGCAACTTAGGTACATTCTTTGCAAAAATTAAAATCTGCGACGGTAATTTTCGTCTTGAATTCATAGTTTATTGGGAGTAGAGGTGAAACTAGTTTAGATGATCGTTTATGTTTGCAAAGTTAGCGACATTGGAATGCTCTTGCTTTTGTTGACCTTTTGCTCCCGAGTACGATTTCCGCGCGGAAGCGTCAGCTATGTTCGGTATTCTGCCGTGCTAAGGAAGAACGCCGTATGAACATTCGAGAGTTGCCAAACTTTTCCGGATAAAACATGTATTTTTGAAGAAAGTTATGCATCTTTCTCCTTGAAATTTTTAGACTTTTTAGAAAAAATGTCGAACAAAATCCTCTTAAAAATTGGAGAAAAAATATTCTCAAATTTTCCTGAAAACGCGTGGTTTGTCGAAGGAAATCTGGCAACGCCTGAAGGCTCATACGGCGTTCTTCCTTAGCACGGCAGTATTGCTGTCGTGAGAGGGTCGAATGGACCCTTTCGCGAGGTCATTTGTCATTGTCATTTTCCAATCATACAATGCTTGATCTGGCCTTTTGAGATCAAACTAAAGCTTATCTGATAAGGAATTGTAAGCGTGAAACTCTTTTTCAGTCTTTAAATGATCCAAATCTGTCAACAACAGGTCTAAAACACTAATTGCAAAAATGCGTATCTCGTGATGAAGTGTCAATTCTTGGTGCCAAAAATACGAGTCTCGGCATTTCTGCCGTATTTCCTAACAGTTCAAGAAATTATTCAAAATGCTGATGGAGTCTGAAAAAGCATCTTACTCTTGCTATCCTGAGGAATTATTACCCTTCTACTGTCAAGAAGCAGAAATGTAGACAGTTTTTTTACTCGCCTGGAAAATCGTTTTTTTCCGAGATACGCACTTCTGCACTTTCACCATGGATATATGACGGAGTTGCTAAAAAGTGCAATTTATTGGAGCGACTGCAGTTATCGACAAAAACGAGCGGAATCACAATGAATCGTGATCATCAACGCCTGCACGGTGAGAAGTTGTCTCGGATTTTGAAATTCCATGACTTTCTAGATATTTAGAACATTAAAATCCTCAATTTAACAGAAGCAGTTAAGAGCGCGAAGCGCAAATGAATCGCAGAATGATGGTGAAAGTGCCAAAGTGGGTATCTCGGAAAATATGATTATCCAGGAGAGTAAAAAAACTGTCTACATTCCTCTTTATTGTTAGTAGAAGGGTAATAATTCTTGAGGATATCAAGAATAAGAAGCTTTTTCAAACTCCATCAGCATTTTGAATAATTTCTCGACTATTAGAAAATACGGCAGAAATGCCGAGATTCGCGTTTTTGGCACTAAGTATTGTCACTTCATCACGAGATACGCATTTTTGCAATTAGTGTTTTAAACCTGTTGTTGGCGGATTTGGATCATTTAAAGACTGAAAAAAGAGTTTCACGCTTACAATTCCTTATCAGATAAGCTTTAGTTTGATCTCAAAAGGCCAGATCAAGCATTGTATGATTGGAAAATGACATTTCATCATGAGCTACACATTTCCGTAATTATAGCGTTTTGAACCTGTTTTTGATCATTAA